GCAGCAGGCTCCCGCCTACTGGGCCACCTTGTTAGAGTGGGCTCGGGCCTGGCCCAGACAGAGTCCTACTCCTTCAGAAACCGCGCCGACCGTCCGGGGCAGAACACACGCGTGGAACACACTGAGGCACAGTTACTCCCGACCACCCCCCTTGCACACGGCTCTGACCACAGACCCAAAATAGATTTGTTTCCCGGGCATGAAGGTTTCTCTCCGTCCTCGCATCTGAGACACATCAGTGTTTGGGGAGAGGCAGCTTCTTCTCTCGGGCCATTTTGCCACCAGGCAGGGACTGGAGAGGCCGGGCAGGTGTCAGCCGTTAAGGGCCAAATTCAGGTTCAGAGGAACTCTCTGTGTTGGATCCTTGGCAGGCAGGGCCCCTCCCTCAGACGGTCAGGTACCTGCTCCCTCCATCCCAGCTCCTGGCCTTTAATTCTCCAGCCAAACAGGGCGTTTGGATGCAGGAGACGTTACGAGGGTTGAGAGGAGGCAGGGAGTGTAGACGGGTTGTATAGGAAGCTCGGATTAGTGTTTAGTTCTGTCAGGCCCTTTCGGGCAGTCTCAGATTAGCCTGCAGACTCGGAGAGAAAGCTTTGTGGATAAGGCGGGCACAGAGACACGCAGGAGACCGAGGGGTGGAGATGGAGACGGACACAGAAATGTGACCAGCTGCAAACAAATCTCGGGACCGCGGTTTTCCTAACGGCAGGAATGGAAAGGCCCCCCTGAGGCCCGCGCTGCAGGAGCAAAGGGGCCAGGTATCTGGCTTGCTGTCCTGGCAGGGACCGTGTGCCCATGATCTGGGGCTGAAAATCTCACTTGTTTCGGACTGAGGGCAAACCCGACCTCCTTTTGGAGCTCAAAGCAAGTGGCCGCTGAGAGCATGTCTGGCTAGAAAATCCTGTGTGCTGAGGCCAAGGTCGACTGGCCAGGGGTCAGTTCTCTCTCCGGGCAGCTGAACCTGGCTGAACCTTGGAAGGACTGACCCTGCTGACTGGAGACGCGGCTGGCTGTCACGTCAGCATTGCGAACTCATCCTTCTCTGGAAACTGCGTCTCCCAAGCCCCCTTTCTCAACCGAGGGCAAGAATCCCGACTTTCTGGTTTGTTTTTCGGCCTCCACAGCAGATAGGGATCCAGGTCCGGTGGTTTCGGCCCTGGGACCTCCCTTATCGCTGGATCTGTTTCTTTCTTCATTCCAGCCCCTGCAGTCATCTGCCCCAGGTCAACAGGCCGGCTGTCCCTGTCCTGTGCTGCCAGAACATTCGTTTCCCAGCTTAACTCCGCTCACCTTATTTTTCTCTTTCAAAAACATTCTGAAGGGCGCCCGACTGCCTGTCCTATAAAGTCAAAATTCCTTAACATGCCACGGGCCCCTCCCACGGTCTGGTCCCTGACTCTCTTCCTAGCTTCGCTCTCGCCATTCCGTCCCTCCCCAGACTTCCGGAGCCGGGGACCTCTGACACCACCGCCCATTCACCCCGTGTGTCCCTCACCCCCATCTGTGTCTTTGCTCGCCCTCTTCCTGCTTCATGGCAAATGTGTCTCCCCAGATCTGCTGGTGGGATCCCACCCACTTCTCAAACCCCAGACGTTTATGTTGGTTCTAAGACCTGTGTCTCTGCCTACCAGACTCTAACCATCTATAAGAGGGAGTCTGTGGTTTCCTCTGCACACTGCACCATGCCTTCTGCACCCTGGGGAAGCAAACAAACAAACAAACAAACACAAATGTAATAGATGAAGCGCAAAAGTAAAATGTGATCGTTCACAAGGGGCCAGGTCCTGGAACCGGGCATCTAGAGGCAGTAACGCATTGAGTCCACCTTCTTACACAGCAAGTACGCAGACTCGGAAAGGTGGCTAATTCGCCAGCCCACGGCTGTCTGCAGAACCAGGGCCTCACTTGGAGACAGAGATAGTGGAGACGAAACATATGCGTAAAAACGGCCAGATGAACACCAAGGGCAAACTCTCTCTCGCCCTTTGGACTCAGGTCAACTCCCACAACTCCACTTTGGTGGGTCTGAAGCATTCTCCCCCGAAAGAAAGCTACCTGGAGGTCTCGAGCCTTAGAAACCAAGGGAAAATCTTGGTTTACTTCTGCTTCTCTCCCCACACAAGGTGCGAGAATTAGGTTCTTAGTAGTGATAGGAGAACGTGACTGTTAGGGGAGAACCCATTCCTCTTTGCCAAACTCATGTTTTTTGTTTAAATGGGGTTGGAGCCCTGGCGGGTTTGGCTCAGCGGTTGGAGCGGCAGCCTGTGGACCAAAAGGTCAAGGGTTTGATTCCAGTCAAGGTCACAGACCTAGACTGCAGGTTTGTTCCCCAGCCCTGGCTGGGGTCATGCAGGAGGCAACCAATCAATGTGTCTCTCTCCCATCGATGTTTCTCACTCTCTCATTCCCTCCCTTCAACTCTCTCTAAAAATCAATGAAAAAATATCCTAGGGTGAGAATTAATAAAAATAAATACATAAATGGGGTTGGAGCTACTGCAGGCCAATTCAAGGGGGAGAGGGAAATAAAAGGTCTGTAACTTGGGTAACCCCCAAGTGCCCAGTCAAACCCGATTTTTTGCTCACCTATTATTAAACCAAAGTTTGCACCCATTTTTGGCTACTGGGCCTGAAATACAAGCCACCACAAGGGGGCAGCATTTAGAAACCCTGGATCAGCGCTAAACCCTCCATCAGGGCTCCACTCTCCATTTCTTGAAAGGCTCATTACAGCCAGGCTTTTGGTGTCAGGGATTCTGACAAACGAGAGAAACAGATCAGTCTAGTCTCCCGACGTCGAGCCACGAGTTAGGAAGCAGCTGTGTTTTGGCTGAAAGGCATTTACTTGGGGGGAAAAACGTCCTTCTTGGGAAGAAGGATGAATCCTGGTTAAATGATGATTTCTTCGGGCTCCCCGATAAAACAAGACGATGTTTCCATCTGTCTGCCTGCTTCTCCAAGGACAGGGATATGCGAAGAAGGTGCACACGTGTTCATTCAGCGACGGAAAAGCATCCGTGCAAAAAGCTTGATTTGCAGGGGGAAGCACTGACCGGTTCCTCTTTGACAGAGGTTGGGCACAGCTGTTCTGTCCCTGGGGGAGACGGTGACATCTTAAGAGGGATCTCTGAAAGGCTCAGGGGTTGGAAAGAAAGTCCTGGGAAGGGAAGGTGCTAGGAGACAGACTCGTGTTTGCAGGAAAGTCGGCGTTGACGGTGGGCTTCCCTCCCGGTGAGAAAGGGCCGGGGAGCATGCTGAGTGTGGTCTTCATGCCCAAAGATGCCTGAGCAGGAGGAAGAGGACTCAAGGCAGGCAGGGAGGATCTCGCTCTGACCCAGGGGATGGGACCCACGGGAGCTGCCGGGGAGGGCGGAGAAAGGTCAGATATAATTTGCCCTTTGACCTGGAGTCTGGGAGGTTATCTTCTCCACACGTCTTTGGCACCCGCATTCCAAGGCCCTTCCAAAGAGGGCAGGGCCCTTTCTCTTTGGCAAGCCCCCACAGTCAGCAGCAAGACAGAAGTGTCCCTTGTACAGTGCATAAAGCAAATGCTGTCTTTCTGTGTGACAACACCGAACAGAAGGATGGGGCTGGCTGGCTGCTTCCCTTCCAACCCCGGGCACCCAGAGCAGACCCCCGGGGCCAGTCCCTTGGGGGATGGGCACTGGGATTTTTTGGCTCTCTCTGGTGGGCACTGCCTGACATTAATTTTTTTTAGCACTTCTGTGTAAAAAGGGACCTTTTGATGCCATTTACTCGGAGAGGGTACATTCGGCATCTTGTCTGCCAGGGAGAAGTTGTACCAGCTCTGATTCCTGCTAAGGACTCTGCTGCCCCCGCCCCCCTTTTTAAAATCTGAGTCGAGGACAACTTGTTTGTTAAAATTATTTTAGCAGGTTGAAAGTGTGGGAGAGCACTTGTAGAAGCCTGAAGCGGGAAGGCCAGGCTCCCCCCACGCTCCGGGGCCCGGTAGAAGCCATGGGGGTCTCACTACACTCCGCCCCAACCTGGTCCCCTTTCACTGGCTTCCCCGAGGGTGTAACAACCGCCCCAAAGGATGACATTCTTCCTTGATATGGTTTCCAGTGTCCACAACTTTCAAGTTTGATGCATTCATACTGTTAAGCTTTTTAACACTATAAGGAGGGGAAACCGAGGACCAGTGACTTGTCCAAAGTCACCGGGTGGCCAAGATCAGGAGATTCCTATTTCCAGCACTTTCCCCTGGACGGCATGACTTCCGGCCTGGTGGGGTTGCTCTGGGAGGGCCTGGGGTGGGCGGGGTGGGGGCGGGGTGGGCAATCCGACAGACGGGTTAATTTCCCAGGAGGGCTCCTCTAACTGGTGTCAGAATCTGAATGCATCTAGGTCTCCGACGCCCTCTTTCTTTGGAGATTTCCCCCTTAATCATCACACACCCCGCTCCACGCCCTGACCCCTTATAACCAGGGCCACCAGGGTGCTTCGAGGGCTATAGGGACACAGGCACAGACCCTCAGTTATGGACGTGTGGGCAACCAACACAGGCCGGGCCGGGGTTCTTGGCACTGAGGGGCTGCAGGCAACACGCGGGCACAGGCAAGAGGGTGGACGGCGGCCCGGGCCCGGCAGGCGCACGCACACGCGTGACCAGAACTGATCTTATAAAAGGGTAAGCGGGGGACTTCAGCGGCCGAGAGACGGGCTCAGAAAACCCTTCCGTGTGGTCCCTGCAGCCTCTCCAGGGGAACCCCGAGATCCAGCCCCGCCGTGAGCGATGCTGATCTGTCCTCGTCAGGAAGGGGGTGGGGGCAGTTCTGTAAGTGCCACTGCAGGTTACAAAGGCATCGCATCGCCGCAGGGACACTCGGGGAGGACACCCAGGAAGGCCGAGGAAACAGGCGAGGGCCCAGAAGAGGACACCAGGACACGCGGCGACTCGACGAGAGGCAGAGGGAAGGGTTCAGCAGCGTCCAGGCTTACAGACCCTGCCGCCGCCCGCGCGGAGCGCACGGGGCAGCCCCGCCGTCCGCGGAGGCAGGAGGGTCCGGTTAGGAGCTAAAAACCCTGCGGGAGAAGAAGTGAGGAGGGAGTTAGGCCGGGAGGCGCTGCAGGGTCCTGAAGGAGCAGGCCCTCAGCCCTCACGGCCTGCAGAGCCCGGTGCTGGAAGCCCGCACCCAGCTGGGCTGTAACCAGGACGCAGGCAGGAACGCCTGCTCCCCAAACAGCCGGCAGGGAGAGGGGCAGGCTTTCAAGGGCCTTTGTGCCCTGGCCCGATTAGCTCAGCGGTTAGAGCCCCAGCCCATGGACCAACGAGTCTCGGGTTTGATTCCCGGTCAAGGGCACTTACCTGGGTTGCAGGTTCGACAGGGGCCGGGGTCTTGCAGGAGGCAACCAATCGATATTTCTCTCACATTGAAGTTTGTTTCTCTCCCTCCCTCTGACTCTCTCAAAATCAAGGGAAAAATGTCCCCTGGTGAGGATTAACCGAAGGAGCTGTGATGGTAACGGTAGTTATGTGAACCTCCTGGACACGAAAGTATGTTTTCTTTTTTTTTTATAATTGTTTCCCCTTTATTAATTTTAGAGAGAGGAAGGGAGAGGGGGAGAGAGAACATGGATTGGCCGCCTCCTGCATGCCCCCCACTGGGGATGGGCCCACAACCTGGGCATGCGCCCTGACCGGGAATCGAACCAGTGACCTCTTGGCTCATGGGTCCACGCTCAACCACTGAGCCACACCGGCCGGGCAAAAGTATGTTTTCGAACTGCCACGTGGTAGGGGGAACCACGAGGGTCTGGAGAAAGGGGTGTGTGCCCTCTGCTGCTGCCAAGGAGCCGGCTCCATCAAGGTTGAGGGGCCCTGGCGCCGTGCAGGCTTAAACACTGAGCTCAACCCCAGTCCTGCGGGGCCCCAGACCGTTTCCGGCCATTTCTAGGGGAGGAGTGAAGTAAAAATAATGCCCATTGGAATTTGCATCAGTGAGAGCGTTCCCAGCAATTTCAGGGTGTGAGAGCAGGGGTGTGAACCCCAAGGAGACAACTTCACAGAGCCGTCATTCCACCAGGGGGCACCCCAGACAGAGGCCGGTGTCCGAAGCTGGGGTTCCCACAGGGAAGGCACAGAATCTCAGGAGCACTTGTCAACACAGACTGCTGCGCCCCATCCCCAGGGTTTTAGATCCCGCCAGTCTGGCGCGGCCCGGAATGTGTGGTCTCAGGGGACCTCTCTGTGGGACCGCCAGGCTAATGGAGTCAGACGTCCCTCCCCATCAGGACCCAGACGAGGGTCCCTGCCCACCGCCTGCCCGAGGTGCCGGGGGCAGCTTACTCGTCAGTGGCTTTTTTGCTCTCCTCGATGAAGGCGATGGATTCGGATCTAAGGCGGTTGGTCACTTCATACGTTCTCAGGGTGACGCCGAAAATATCCTCATGGTAGCGGTTGTCATCCTAAAGGGACAGAAGCAGTCAGGAGACAGCCCTGAAATGCCAGCCAAGGGCACAGAGAGGGGCGGACACACAGAATGAGTTATCCCTAAAGAAAATGGTCCCTAAAGAAACGAGGCATGCCCTGGCCGGTTTGGCTCAGCGGTGAGAGCGTCGGCCTGCGGTCCAGAGAGACCTGGGTTCGGTTCCCGCTAAGGGCACGTACTTCGGTTGCCGTTTGTCCCCGGCCCTGGTTGGTCGTGCGGGTGGCAGCCACTCGATGTGTCCCTTTCACGTCAATGTTTCTCTCTCTCTCTCTCTCTTCCTCTCTCTCCCTCCCGCTCTACCTGAACAAAAAATGGAAAAATGTCCTCGGGTGAGGATAAAAAAAAAAAAACTAGGCGCAACCCAATGCCTCCCAGAGGACCCTTGGTCTCCAAGGCTCTGTTCGAGCAAGACCCTCAGGGCCTGGGGTCTCTCCAGCCCAGATGACAATGACCACTCATGCTCCCATCCAGGGACAAGCTGCTGCTATGCCGACTGATTCTGAGGACAGGAGGTGAGGAGGTCACATGGGAACCTCACCAGCCCCCCCCTTTCCTCTCTGTCCTCTGGCTCCTGCCAGTTCAGATCTGGGCGTGGCTGGGCCGAGTGGGAAACATCACAGCCTGGAGAGACTGGCGGAGACGAGAGAGAGAGAGAGAGAGAGAGAGAGAGAGAGAGAACGAGAACCAAGTGCTGCTTAGTGCAGGGGACACCTCCCCAGTTGCCAAAGGGGAGACTTCTTGGGTACAGTGACGCACAGATTTCTCAGACGGTTTAGGAGAACCCGTTCATTTGTAGAATGGGTTCATTTTTTAGTTGGGGTGGTTTTTCAACCTTATTCTGCAGAGTTCTTTTTTCTCTTTTTTTAACAGTCATTGCATTTTACTTTATTTTTTTTATTATTTTATTTTTAATTTATCTTTATGGTTGAAAGTGTGTCTCCTGAGGGTCATACCAAAGAAATGGCATGACGGGGACCTCTGCAATGTTCCTCGGATCTCTGACATTTCTACCAGAAGGTAGGTTTATTTGTTTGTTTATTTATTTTTAATCTCCTGGGGTTCAGTATCCTATTGACAACAAGGCTCCTTCTGCACAAATGTTTGATTCCTGCTCATTTAGGGGAGGAGGGGGAAGGATGGGATTAGCCCTGGAGCTCGGTGGAGACCTGGACTCAGGTCGTTCTACTTGGGGCAGTGGGTCACACAGGACTTGGCCTGCTGGGCTGCTTGCTCTTAGCTACTGCTCTGTGCAGATGAGGAAGAGACCCCCCCTGCTGGGATGGCCCAGGGCTCAGGGGGCCAGGCATGGAATGGCTTCCAGCTCCCACCCGCCGCCCTGGGGAAGACGTCTCTGTGCAGGGCCCGAGCTGCACAGCTGCACAGCTGCACAGGGCGGTGTCACCCTTGGCCTGGGGGCAGGAAAAGCTGGCTTAGGATGGCTCTGTCCAGCTACCCAGTGACCCACCCGCTTGCTATTTTTATATAACGCAGCCCCCAACGCCGTTTAACACACTCCCCTGCACACCGGCCATCCTTCCTCTCTCTCAACTGTGGGTCAGGACCACCTACATCCTCCACCGTGGCCAGAAATGGAAAACGGGGGCAAGGATATCATCGTGGCTCCCGGATGGTGGAGACAGGACACTGGATGCGGGAGAGGGAGCCCAGAAGCCCGCCCGCCACTCACCCTCAGCCGGCTGATGAACACGCCGGCGTCCTCCGCCGAGAGTTTCCCCTGCTGGCTCATGATGCGCTGGATGGCTTTGAGGACGTCCGCAGCCATGGTGACATCCCCGCAGACGTAAATGTGGCCGCCTTGCTCCTTCAGGGCTCGGTACACCGGTTCCGCCAGCTTCTCTTGCAGGATGTCCTGCACGTACTTCTGTGGGGCGAGGGGACCCCCAGAAAGCAGAGCCTGACACGGGAGCTTGTGGGCCGGGAGTGATCTCTGGGGTCTCAGCAGAGTGAAATTGGGGAGGAGGGAAAGCCAACTTGAGGCTGTGTGAATAAGCTGCTCCCTGCTTCGGACCTCAACTCTGCCGAGGACCCCAGAACCACCTGCTCCTCTCTGCAACAACCAGGGGTCACCCAGAAGGTGTGAACGCCATGAACTTGCAGGAGTGGGGTGCTGACTGCAGCAATCCTACGGGACGAGCCAGAGAAGCCCCGGCAGATGGCAAGCGATGGGGCCAGGCGAGGGCTGTCAGGCCACACCTGTGCGAAGCCAGCTGCTGCAGCTGGATTCAGAAGTGGGCTAAGGGAATGTGAGGGGGCACCAGCCTCCAGGAACTTGGCTCGCTTGTTCAGGCTGTTTTTAGCCCAGGGAACTCCCCTCTGGGTGAGGCTGGCGTTCAGCGGGTAAGTCCTGGCTTGGCTGACCTGGTTGTTGGGGTTGATACGCTTCCACACACACCAGTTGTCAAATGGCCACTGCCCAGATTCTCTGACTTCTCCCCTCACCCCAGTTGTCCTGGCCCCCTTCCTGGGACCCCTCCACCCCAGACCTCCCCAAGATCCAGGAGGAGTGCCAGTCCTGTGGCCCGTGTCCGGTCTGACTGGTAGGGTCTCTTATGGGCCATTAAATAAGTTTTCTAATTCACATAAAAATGTTTTTAATTGTGTATATTAAAATACACATGATGCCCTGGCTGGTTTGGCTCAGCGGTGAGAGCGTCGGCCTGCGGTCTGGAGAGACCCGGGTTCGGTTCCCGCTAAGGGCATGTACCTCGGGTGCAGTTTGTCCCTGGGCCTGGATGGGTCGTGCGGGTGGCAGCCACTCAGTGTGTTCCTTTCACGTCGATGTTTCTCTCTCTCTCTCTCCCTCCCACTCTATCTGAACAAAATATCAAAAAGTGTCCCTGGGTGAGGATAAAAAATAAATAAAAAGTACACATGAGCCCTGGCCAGTGTGGCTCAGCTGTTAGAGCGTCGGCCCGCAGACCGGAGAGTCCCAGGTTCGGGTCCCACTAAGGGCACGTACCTAGGGTGCAGTTTGTCCCTGGCCCCGGATGGAGTCGTGTGGGTGGCAGCCATTCAATGTGTCTCTCTCACATTGACGTTTCTCTCTCTCCCTTCCTCCCTCTCTCCCTTCTGCTCTATCTGAAGATCAATGCAAAAATGTCCTTGGGTGAGGATAAAAAAATAAAATAGGCGTGAAATGTACCATTTAACCATTTTAAAGTGCACGACTCAGCTGCAGTAGGTGCACTCGCTACACCGTGAGACCCCCGCCGACACCGGCTCCGGACCGTCACCACCCCTGACGCCCGCAGCCCCGGCCCCCCAGCCTGCTTCGCTCTCTGCAGTTGGCTGCTCTGCACATTCCCGTAAGCAGCCGCACGCACTAGGAGCTGTTAGATGTTTTCAGCTGGTAGTTTCAGGCCCCGTCTCCTGAAGTGTGAGCACCCAGGCGGAGGGGCAGGCGGGCCAGGGGTTCACGTGTGTACGAGCGTGCGGGCGCGTGGGCTGCGGCGGAGGCCTGGGGTGAGCCGGGTTACCTTTGGTTTGTCTGGCTCCCGGGAGTAGGCCGTGTACAGCTCTCTGAAGACCCCCGTGCTCCTGGCCTGTAGGGTCTCCTCCCGGTAGATGTGGTCTATCTTGGACTGCCGGCACCCGAAGACCAGGATCATGGGGCAGGGACTCATTCCTGGGGACCAGGAAGATCTCAAGTCACCAGCAGCTCTGACTCCTGATTCGGGGGGTGGGGTCCCGGGAACCTCAGCAGGTACCATGTGGATAGAGGTACATGGACGCTGGGGCAGGCCGGTGTATGGGCCCACACACCCTCACATGAGCACGTGCACACAAGCACGAAGTAGGTAAAGTGTATTCAGACTTGGCAAACCTCCCTTCTCTGCGCCTGTCTTTCCTCCTGACCCCTCGGGGAAGTGCTAAGACCCCAGACTTTGGAGCTACACTGCCTGGGTTCCGATCCCAGCGCCGTCTGACAAGGAGCAACTTGCTGAACTTTCTGTGGCTCCATTTCCCCCACGTACAAAACAAGTCCTAACAGCAACTACCTCACTGGTTAGAAATGGATGTCAGACATTAGAGCCCTGGCTGGTTCAGTGGTTAGAGCGTCGGCCCACAGGCCGAAGGGTCAAGGGTTTGATTCCCATTCAAGGGCATGTAGCTGGGTTGCAGGTTCAAACCCTGGCCCTGGTCAGGGCGGGTGCAGGAGGCAACCAATTGATGTGTCTCTTTCACATGGATGTTTCTCTCTCTCTCCCCCTCCCTCCCTCCCTCCCTCCCTCCTGCTCTAACAACAACAACAACAACAACAAATCAATGGAAAAAACATCCTCAGGTGAGGATTAACAACAACAGCAATGTCCCATCCCAAAAAACAAAAACAAAAGTACTGGAACTGTGCCTGGCACATCACGAACACTACAAATGTTAGTATTCCACTTGACTGACGTCCCATAGGGCAGGGCGTTTTTGTTTTTAAGTTGTTTCTGTCTTATTCATTGGTATGCTCAATAACCCTGTTTAATGCCCACACTGGGGCTGCCCCCTCCCCCCAGCTGATCTGTGTGGACCCCACACAGCAAAGCCTGCTCTCGAACGGGCCCCTTGGAGAGAATCCCGTAAGCACACATCCATGTAAGGTTTCATGCTCCCCCTTTCCAGGGCCACTTGAGTGTTAAGCAGGGGTCCTATCTTAACAGCCCAAGAAATGTGGAATTTCAGGCCCCAGCGTCAGCTGAGCGGAGGTGTTTGGACAGGTCCTTGGAATCACACCACGGGGCGGGTCAGGTCAGGAGGCTGCCCCGCCCCTCCCTGGGCGGGGACACAGTGGAGAGCAGGCCGTCACGTGTCTCCGGGCAGCTGACAGGCGGCCCCCTCAGGCCCAGGGGTGGAAACCGTGTGGCCAGTGGCCCAGGACCCACCTTTGTGTTGGATATCAAACTGTCGTTGCTGCCAGAAGCTTCGGAAGGGGGCGATGCCGGTGCCCGGGCCCACCAGGATGCAGGGCACTTGGGGGTTCCGGGGCAGGTGGAAGCTGGGTGCTCTGCACAAGGAAGAGAAGGTCACGAGGCTTTCTGAGCCCTCTGTGGGCAAGAGCAGCTGGGTCTCAGGCAGACCAGGTGGCTGTCTCGGGTGGCAGGACAGCAGCCCTGGTGCCCTGCAGGCTGGGCCAGGTGCCCCTCCTCAGGGTGGGAGGTCCCACAGATTTGGGGCATCCTCAAAACAGGAGGCGCTCAGAGTCCGGCTACCCCTCCGTTTCCCAATGACCCCAGTGACTGAGCAAAACCACAAGGGCAGTGGGGTTGCCTGGACTCGGGGTCTCCCGGCCTCGGCTCTACTGACATGTGGGGCTGCAGACTTCTGTTGTGGGGACCACCCCGTGCTCTGCAGGCTGTTGAGCCCTGGGCTCCACCCACTAGGTTCCAGGAACACCCTCCAGACACTGCCAAATGTCGCTGGGGTGGGGGGTGTCAAATCATTCCCGCAGAGAACCACTGATTTAACCGTCCCTGAGATCTCTAGTGTGCAAAAGGACCAGCTGGGGGGGTCAAAGGGGTGCGGTTTCTGGGCAGTGCAGTAAGTCTGGGCTAGGACTCTATTTCTGAAGCACCCCCGGAGGTGTGCGGACCACCCCATGAACATCCTACCTTCAACAGTTCAGAAAAGGGGCTGAGGTTGCTGTTCTGGTAGAGACGTTATTAGCCGACAGAGCAGATACTCACAATGGGCCTAGCTCGGGAACGTCCTTTATTTTTCTGAAGGAATATTTTTCTATTTGGCTGACTGGTTGTGATCAGAACATGTCACATGAAATCTACCCTGTTTTTGAGTACGCGATGCAGGCCTGTTAACCATGGGCAGGAACAGCCTTTAAACTGAGTTTGGGAGGAGAGACTCTAATTGATGGGGTTGTGGGAAGGGGTCTGGGTCCTCCCTGTTTCTAAGAAAGTGGGGACAGATGGGGTGTCCGGTGGAATCTGGACCCTCTCCCCTGGTTGCACATCCCACGGAGGCGGAGGCTGGTCCACGCGGCTCTCCACGGCAGCCTCAGCACCCAGCCTGGCACGCGCACTTCATACATAGCTGCGGCCGTGGTCGTGACCTGGCGAGAGGGCTTCCTCGCTTCTGCTGGGTTCTGTCCCATGATCCCGTTTCCTTAGCAAGTGGGAGGGACGCAGCCGACTCTACGGAACCCTCCGGGCTGGTCACCCCCACAGCTCAGGACATCAGCACGCAGATTTGGGACGGCTGTCATTCCTCTGCGTTTGCGCTCACCCTCTCACGAAGCAGGGGACCGCTTCGTCACGCTGTATCCGGTTGAGCCAGGAGGAGCACACGCCGTGGTGAATCGGCCCTTCTCCGTCTGGCAGAATAAACGAGGTGGCCTGGCTCACCAACTGCCCCCGAGCTTCCCGTCGTCGGCCTCCTCCCTCCCGTCAGCCCGGATGCCAAGGTTCTGCCTTGGAGTGCCTTGTCTGGGCCCTTCCTCTGAAGGGGAAGGGGACCTGGCACAGCGGGGAGAGATTGTGATCTGCGAAAGTGCCCGGGGCGCTGTTGGGGAGGGGGCGTCAGATTCAAATCCTGCCTGCTGAAAGGGCCTTGGTCCCCGTGTTCGCCAGGGGGCTGCCGGGGGCTCAGAGCTGTCTCGGCCACCGTGCACACTGATTGCTTTGTCACAGAGGGACAGCATGGGAGAAAAATGGCAGGCTATCTGACTGACCGATGACCAGCTGGACACCCCGCAGCAGGGGACTCCTGCTCCAAGGGGTGTGTGCCAGCTGCTGCGTGGAGTTGGCTCTGCCCACGGGGACAGTGTCCACTCTGCTCCTTCCCAGAGTTTCCCGGCTGGGGACTGGGGACTCGGCAGACCTGCAGGGGCCCCAGGGGGGAAATGCCAGCCTGGAGGCTCCCCAGCACCCCTGCCCACCTCGGGTGCGGTAGGAGACGACGGCCACGGTGAGGTGCACCTCGTCGGGGTACATGTCTGGGGAGGAGCTGATGGAATAGTAGCGAGGCTGCAGGAGGGACAGCTGGGTCAGGAGCAGGGTGGCGGGCATCTGGACGGACCGGAACTCCTCCAGCACCTCCACGATGGTGGGGTTCTTGCCCCATTTCCACTCCTCGTACTCCTGTAAGCCCTGTGCCAAGGGGAGGGACAGAGGGAAACTCACACTCAGCTCCTGGTACAGATTTCCAACGAGGGCTTGCGTAGGGCCCGGGGAAGAAAACAAATTAAAATACTAGTAGTTAACACTTAACATCATTAAGTACTCTGTGCCAGGTTTTAACTCTCACTAGCACCTCTTGAAATAAGTATGATTATTAAACCCATTTTATAGATGAGCAAACTGAGGGATAGAGAGGTCCGGTGGCTACGAGGCAGTGATTCAGGGCTCTGAGCCTAGGTCAGGGAAGGGCAAGCTTCAGCCTGCCAAGCCAGCCTGGCTCATCCCTTGTTTTGTACATTTAAATGGTTTGGGGAAAACATCAAAAGAATACCATTTTATGACAGAAAGATATGCTATCACATTCGAAACTCAGGGTCCATAAAACCGTTGGACTGGAACCCAGCCCTGCCCACTCACTTATGTATTGCCTATGCCGTTGTGTTGAAATGACAGTGGAGTAGTTTCGACAGAGATCAAACAGACCATTGGCCTAAAATATTTACTACCTGGTCTCTTACGGAAAGAATGTACTGAGCCTTCCCCGAGGCATTCCGGCCCCAGAAGCTGGGCTCCTGCGGTACGTAAAGGTCAAGATAAAGGCGCCAGGAAGGGAGTTGGGACTTGTAGGGTTAGAATGCAGAAGTGAGGGTGGTGGGTTTGCAAGGGTGGAGGTGCATCAACAGAGAGCATGCTCAGATGGTGGAGGACAGTCCCAAAGGAACAGGGTAGGGTGTGGGGGACCGTGTTCGGGGACGTGTTGACAGCTGGGCCCAGCTGTTACTAGGGGACAGAGAGACTCCCCTGGGGCTCTGGAGCTATTTTTCCTGCATCTCAGAAGCCGCCCTGGGCAGTCCCTCATTGCTTTCACGAGGTTCAGATTTTGCGGAGGGGTGCAGCCCACCGTAAGTGCCCTGGATGACAGAGCCCTTCCCCATGTCCCTGAAGCCACCCTTACTTTATTGGTAGGGCATGGCAGCCATGAGAATGTGCCTCCCAGACTCCGACCCCACTGACCTTCACCTACAGGGGCACAATTGGCCGAGTCCCAGCAGCTGCTCTGAAAGTGATATCACCTGAAACCAACGTGATCACCTACATAGGTCTTTCCTTGGACAGCATGTATGACCTTGGACATGTCCATTCAACCTTCTCCCTCTCCTTCACTGGAGGTCAGACTCGTGTTGAAGTCTGACGGTTCTCCAAGTGCCATCTGATTCCACCCCCCCCCCCCCTTTTTCTCCTAACAAACATCCCTGCTCAGGCCCTGGCCAGCTGGGCTCAGCAATTAGAGTGTCGGCCCGCAAACCGAAGGTTCTCGGGTTCGATTCCTGGTCAAGGGCATGTACTTGGGTTGCAGGTTCGATCCCCAGCCCAGCTGGGGTCATGCAGGAGGCAAACAATCAATGTGTCTCTCTTAGATCAATGTTTCTCTCTCTCCCTCTCCCCCCTCCCTCCCTTCTTCCACTCGACCTAAAAAATTTAATGGAAAAATATCCTCGGGTAAGGATTAACAACAGCAGCAACAACAAAAGAATCCTTGTTCATTTAATCTTGGAATTTATGCTCTTCAGAAGAAATGAATTAATCCATATACTTATTTATATCCACTTCTACTGTAAACCATCCTGTGCGAAAAGCACACACTCTGGTTCCTATCAAAGTTATACATGTACAGTTTAAAAAGTTCAATAACTCTGCAAAACTTACGACGAAATCAGTGGTGTTCTGTTCCACCTCTCCAATCTGTTCCTCACTCCCCAGAGGTAACCACTTCCAACCACTCGCTCTGGAAGTGTTTCTCCTGCTGTTTATTCGTATATTTCTAGATCATATGCACTCCTTGCATTAGCCACTGCCTTGCAGACCACCACTCCAGCCCCTCTCCTGACAGCAGGAAGCTAAACCACCCTTGGCGGTGGCGGTGGCGTGCACACTGGGGAGGAGCCCTGGGAGGTCTCGCTGGGTGGGATTCTCCCTGAGCAAGATTTTGCAGCAGCTTGGAGCCAACAGGTCATCCGTCTCTAAGCAAGGGTGGCTTCACTTTTCCTTCAGGGGCCTCCTTTATCTCCAAGTCCTGCTACGACTCCTCGGCTGGGGAAAAGGCTTATCTAGAAAATGGCACTGAGATTCTCTGTTTCTTTTTCTTGTAAGCATTGGCTAAGAGGGACCCAATGGAAACTCCAGGGATCCAAAGGAACAGCGATTTCTACTGTGGTCAAAGAACTCTGAGATTCCACGAGGTCACTCTCATGCTATCAGGGCTTAGCACCAGGTGAGACGGTTGGGGAGGAACTAGCCCACATGGTGCCTTTCTGCAAACGGGAAAATGGCAATGCTTGCTCAAGACTGCCACCTGCTGGGAAGTTGTTGTAATGCTAGACAACTCTCCAAGGACTCGGAGGTGAAAGGCGCCCCCTGGGGTTGCAGGAGGCCAGGGACCCACCTTGCTGAGGATGAGCAGACGCTGCTTCTCTTTCTCGCTGGTGGCCAAGGAGGCGAACTGCTGCAGCTGCAGTGGCGTGGGCGGCGTGGTGATGTCCAGGTAGTACTTGAAGGCCTGGAAGATGGTGCAGGGCGGGAGGCGGTGCTCATCTGTCCAGTTACTGATGACTCCTGTGGAGGCACAGTGGAGGGTAGCGGGGTGGGTGGGGGAAGGGGAATCTGAGCTCCGAGGGCTTGGCTCCAAGTTAGGATGGGGCTAGGTGAGCCCCTAAGCCCTCGCCTCTCCACCTTGCCTGTCCCACACCTAACCTTTTGTGTGCAAGGAGCATATCCAAAGTCCACTGAGGGGAGTTATGAGTTGATTTTGGCTCTGTCTGTCCTCTCACGCCTCTGAGTGGGCCTCTCATGGCAAAATGACAAACACGCCTAACACTTACCTAGTACTTTCTGTGTGGCCAGTACGAGTCTCAGAACTCTGTGTTAACTCCTGTAATCCTTCTCATCTGCTCAAACTCACGACCACCCCAGGTGGCAGGTGCTATTATTATCCACCTTTTGCAGTGGAGATACATGGAAGCACAGAGAGGTTAAGGAATTCACCCAAGGCCACACAGCTCATCCATGTGAAGTCGGCAGTCTGTCTTCTAACCACCACACGTACCGCCTCTGTGTACTTTTCATTCACTATAGCCCCCAAATACAAGCCTCTCCTTCATTAGGGACTCCACCCCAGATAAAAAGGCACAGTTCCAACATGGAGTAAGGACTGGCTGGGTTGGATTTCCTACAAGAAGGGGTTTCTCTCCAAAGTGGGGCCTTCCTAAGGGATTTTCAACAGGCCTTTGACTATATACTGTTTTCACATTCTGCCCTGACAGGACACCCTCGCTCCTTTGTAAAGGTGATACGTCACTGTGTCACAGGCTGCCACGCAAGGTCACTGCTGCTCCTTGTACCCGAGCCCTGAGCTCACCTGCACCCACTGAGGTGAACCACTAGACCCATTTGCTTTGCAAATTCTTCAGCGGCAGTGTCAAGAATGGGCACCGAGCCCTGGCCGGTTTGGCTCAGCGGTTAGAGCATCGGCCTGCGGTCCAGAGAGACCCGGGTTCGGTCCCGCTAAGGGCATGTACCTTGGTTGCAGTTTGTCCCCGGCCCTGGTTGGTCGTGCGGGTGGCAGCCACTTGATGTGTCCCTTTCACGTCGATGTTTCTCTCTCTCTCTCTCTCTCTCCCTCCTACTCTATCTGTGCAAAAAATGGAAAAATGTCCTCGGGTGAGGATAAAAAAAAAAAAAAAAAAAAGAATGGGCACTGAAACAGGCTGGAACTGGGTCTAACAAGGTCAGATAGGTGGTGCCAAGCCTCGTGGGCCGTGGCGTTCATACAGCGCCTCTGGATTCTAGGAGAGGGGGGGCCAGAGTTCAGGGCTATTCATTCTGTGGGCAGTGGGGTGGCGGTAAGTTCCTCCCAATGATGAACCCTCGATGTCCTGGCATCACAGGCAATCGATCAGCCAGTTGGGCCAAGTTTGTTCAGCCAAGAGACCCACTCTCCTACCTGGTTTGGTGATTAGGACCAAGAAGGGGCCTCCTCTTCCCTGGACACCCACCCGCTGGGACTCCCTGGGGGAAGGGAGCGGCCGTGGGAGTGGACAGATGGTGGCCGGCGAGGCCACAGTTACCCAAAGCTGTGCTCCGCTCTTCCAGCAGCTCCACTTTCACCAGCTGGTTGACGGGGGGTGCGTCCTCCAGGCGCTCGATCAGGGCGTTCACGAGGTCCTCGTGGTTGCCAGGGAAGACGCCCAGGTGGTCCCCAGGCTGGTACTGCAGCTCCTGATTCCCATTGGTGTGGAGACGCACGAAGATGGTAGACCGGCTGGAGGGAAGGAGCGGGGAACAATCAGGCAACGGCACCAGCTCCTGCCCCCTTTCTTTGCTCCTTTGTCGCCTCTGTGACTGCTGCTTCCCTCCGTCCATTCTCCTCGGGGCCAACCAGACGTTCGTCCCCACCATTTCCACACCACGGCGTTGAGCGGGGTCACCCGGAGCTCCCCCTTGCAAACCCAGCAGCCGGTTCCGGTGCTGGTCATGGGTGCGCACAGGGCACGGCTGCTCGCTTCCTCCTTCTCATGGGGGGATTCCAGCACCCCGGGCTCTCCTGGTCTCCTCTCTGGCTGCCCTGGCTGTCTCCTTTGCTGGTTCCTCCTCATCTCCCCGAACTCTGGACACGGAGCCTCCCGGGGTTCAGTCCTCAGACCTCTTTGCTTTTCTCTCTTTCTGCCTGGCTTCTCATTTCTCCATAGCAGTGACCATCTCTGACCCACAGTAGCAGTTACTTTGTTATATGGTTTGTGCTCTGTCCCCCTGCCCATCCCCTGGCCCTCGGGACACCATAAACTCTAGAGGACCGGGGGCTGGGCTGTCTGTTTTGTCCCGGGCTCTATTGATGGTCCTTAGGACAGTGCATGGCACATAATAGATGCTCAAGAAATATCTGTTGAAGGAACCTCAGACTCCCAGCTGCCGGAACAGGCTTTATTCTCAGTGCCAATGGGGGTCCTCTCAGCAAGAACGACCCCACTGGATCCAACGCAGTGTTGTTCCCAGGCTGTGGAATTCCATCCCCCCAGAACCCTAAACTTCACACCCTTTTGCAACTGGAGGTCCTCCTACTCTCGTGGAAAAGAGGTAAAAGAACCTGGCCTTAAGCCTGGGTCATTGCTAAACAGAAATCCACTGATACTGTAATATGGAGAGATCTGAGAAAACCCAGACGAAACCTCGGTCACACCTGCCGGGACACGCCCTCTCTCGCTGATTTTTTATTTCAAGCACAGGGAAGCCTGTGCGAGGTGAATAGGAAGCTTTAAGAATGAATCCTCAGCCCTGGCTGGTTTGGCTCGGCGGTTAGAACGTTGGCCTGCGGTCCTGAGAGACCCGGGTTCGGTTCCCGCTAAGGGCGCGTACCTCCGTTGCAGTTTGTCCCCGGCCCTGGTGGGTTGTGTGGGTGGCAGGCACTCAATGTGTCCCTTTCACATCGATGTTTCTCTCTCTCTCTCCCTCCCACTCTACCTGAACAAAGAATGGAAAAATGTCCTCGGGTGAGGATAAAAAAAAAAAAAAAGAATGAATTCTCAGACTATGATTATTCTGGTCTTTTTAAGGTTTTAGTACAGATACTACGTTTTTTATCCAAGTTATGAAAACTTGGGGGTTGATCACACTTTGGTAAATCAAATCCTTTGTGCACCTGGGGTTATGATCAGATTCCAGATCTGCTTCTTCTTCTTTGCCAACTGGTTTTCAGTTGACAGAGAAAGTGACATTCGATGTGAAGTCCCCATATTCTCCCTTGAATCATCAACACATGAACCAACCAATGGGAATTGCTATTTAAAGGAGTTTTTGGCGTAACCAAGAGCCCTTTTGTGCTGCAAATAGCCACCACTACTAAAAATAGCTGTGCTGGTACACTTGCTTTTTGGGGTGTCAAGTACTTTTTTGGAGCAAGGCACCCCTGTCCTTACTTTAGTGGGGAACTTGGTGACTGAAATTGTGAATGGCGGCGTTAGGGTCTGGGTCCCACTCTCCTTCCCTGGGCAGATTTTGCCCTGTCTGGCGCAGGCTGATTCTGCTCCGAGCTCACACCCATCTTGGTTCCCAGAGAGCAAACAGTACCCACGGCCAGCTCCCGGAAGGGAATTCGCAGAGGCCGACGACCAGCAGGCGGCGCTGTGGGGCTGCTAATTTGGGAGCCTCCTGGGACAACCACGGGACGCCTTTGAAAGGCCCGCAGATCAATTCCCACTTTCTCCCCCATCATCACGATTTCCTTCAGAAGTCTGTTTGCCTCTGTCTCTTTGGCTGGTACAAAAGACAAATACAGAGGACACGAACTTGCTGAGCTGGCTCATGTTCACAGCCACCTGCCGAGTCCTCTTGAGTGGGGCAGAAGGTGGTCAGGCAGATAAGGGGCAGGGGTGGGGAGGTAGCTGGCAAGTTAGCCAGAAGGTGGGCCCGGATTCTGCCTGTGCTGGGAATTTAGCCAAGGGGACTTCGCCAGCCATTGACCAGATGTGGCCTGCTGACAACCCCGGCACAGAGTGGCCCCACGATCTCAGGGCCTGGATGGGTGTTTCCACAAAGCTTAGCCGGAAGCAGATCCCTGGTGGGTAACACCAGCCTGGAGACCGATTGTTTTAAATCTCAGTGCTGTTGGAGGTTTCTAAGTGCAGGATTTTCTAGGCTTTTTTTTCTTTCTTTCTTTTTCTTTTTAAACCTTGGGACACATATGGACCATTGAAAAGTTTTGGGGGCAGGAGAAAGGGAAGTATTGGGGAGGTCACAGCCATTTGGACTTTTTTCACCACCTCCCCCAGAGTAGCCCCTGCTTGTGACGTATTTATATTCACACACAGAAGCATAACACACACACACACACACACATACACGTGTGCAAGTTCCAGATAAAAGAATAGTCTGCTAATGTTTAGCACTAAATGAAAAAAAAAAGAAGCTAATGTTCAGTCTCCCATGAAAAGGGTAAACATGATCTGTCAAGAGTAGTTTGAGTTAATAGGTTCATTCAACAAATTTATGGTGAGTGTGAGGCAGTTCTAGGCACTGATAAGAGAATAATGGACAAAGTATCCTGTTTTCACTGGGCTGTAACTTAAAAAGCCCTCAGGTGGAGTTGGTGATGTGGGTGGGAGGGTGGTGATGGGTTGAGGGCAGTGGGCTAAGCGACCATCAGATAAGGGTGGTCAGGGAAGCTTTTGGTGATGTGACATTTGGGTAGAGACCTGAACAATGAGGAGTAGACATGTAAAGATCCAGGGGGAGAATGTTCCCGAAAGGAGGGGTAGCATGTGCCAAGGCCCTGAGGTAGGAAACAGTGTGGTTTGGTCAAGAAAGGGAAAGGAGGCTGGAGGGTCTGCAGAGTGATCAGCGCAGGGCTGAGTGGTGGAAGGAGGAGGTCAGAGAGCTGGGTGGAGGTCTTGACATGTCACGGCAAGGGGTTTGGAGGTTTCCTGCATTCAGTGGGAAGCCATTGGAGGGTGTGGTAGGCTTCAGCTTACATTTTTTTTTTATTTTTTAATCCTCACCCAAGGATATTTTTTTACATTTATCTTCAGACAGAGTGGGAGGGGGAGAGAGTGCGAGAGAAACATCGATGTGAGAGAGACACATCGATTGGTTGCCACCTACACAACCCCAACGGGGGCTGGGGATGAACCACAACGGAGGTACGTGCCCATGACTAGAGTCAAACCTGGGACTCTCTGGTCCACAGGCCGACGCTCTAACCGCTGAGACAAACCAGCCAGGGCTCAGTTTACATTTTTAAAAGATTGCTCTGGCTGCTGTTTGGAAATTGGATCTTTGAGGGGAAAGCCAAGAAACAAGGAGACAGGTTAGGTGTCTACCACAGCCACTCAGACCAGAGGTCATTGGGGCTTTGCTCCTGGCGGCCACTGAGAGTGGATGTCCAGTGTGAGAGGAGGCGAGGAGACTCGAGTTGTGGCTTCAGCCGAATGTTCTCTGTTGCGATGGCGAAGCCTGGAGAGAGGCCATGTATCCGAGGGGAGATGGATACAATCAGGAGTTCGGCCGTGGGGAACTCTCCATGGTAAGGTCCCACCAATCTCTCCGATAGCCGAGTGCTCAGGCCCCTTCTGTACTTCGTTCCCTCCAGTCTCTCTCCCCACCTGTCCTCCGCCATCCTCACAGCCTGTCTCAAGCCCTTCCTGCATTTCCCCTCCTCCTCCTGACTTCCAGGACGTACGCCCATTAGCGCTCCGTAATACTCTCTTCGGTACCGTTTGCTAATTGGTGCTCATACATTAGAAAATTTATTTCCTGCCCAGGCAGTCACTTTTCTCTCTAGAATTGCAAGGACCATCCCCAAAAGGCTGTTTACTTCCTCTTAAGCACTTTGCTTGCAATTAGGAGTCTCCAGTGGGGGGCGGTTGCTGACAGCTCGCCTGTGGCCTCTTGGGTCAAACAGCTAGACTCGCCGTGGGCAGGAGGAAAGGGAGAGCTTGCCACGCTTTTCCACTCAGTTAACCCTCAGAAAACCTGTGCAGCTGGAATCGGTGCTTTTAAAGAGATAAATCCCTCGACATGTTTGACCCTTTGATGCGAACCCATGCAGTCTTCCGTTCCTGGCCTTGCTGAGACACTCGGGTGAGCCGGCCGGCAGGAGTGCGGTGCCCTTTCCAGGGGTGAGAGGGGCTTATTTGGGGACTTTGGTCCAATCTAGTTCACATCAAAACATGTGCAAATTAACTGGCTTTTTGTGTGTGGTTTACGGAGTAATTTCTGTAATCCGGTCTTTTCTCCAGACCCCACCGGAGGATACGTTTCTGTCCCTCGGGGCTGCAGCTTGGCAAAGGGAAGGCAGGAAACCGAGATGCTACAAAGCAGCAGGGGGGCTCAGTGGCACTGGGGAGGGTAACAGAAGAGCAGTCCTTGGAGTCAGCAAGGACTCCTACCTTCCTGGGGGGCTCCTGGCGCAGAGGTGGGCACCCCGAGTGAACAAGGTGTTCCTACCTGGACTTAGGACTCTGGAGGTTCTGCCGGCTGAGGAGACGAGCGGCCGACACCCGCTTTCTGTGGACGCTGGAGAGACCTGCGGGGAGAAAACAACAGTCCTCCTGAGATGGGTCCGCAGCTGTCAGTGGAACGTCGTCCGCTCCCACCGACCTCCACTCACACTCACACTGTCCTCTGGAGCAAGTGAAGGGATGAGAGAGAGGTCAGGCAGGCATTGTTGGGTGGGTGGGTGGTTGTGGACAAAAACAACACAAAACAAATCTGGTTGGACTCAGCTGGGAAGAGGATGGGTCAGGTAGCACCCCATACTCTTGGGGAGACATACTGAGCGTGGGGCAGCGGCCACGTATTCATGGGGGACTGAACTAATGGGAGAGCAAAGTGATGAAACCCATTGTCCCTTGGCACCTTTCCAAGGTGAGAAGTCCTGACCTTCCTTTCCCCCACCGTCACGAATGCCTACGCAGGAGAGGGGCGAGAGGTACCTTGTGTAAGTTCTGGAGCTTCGGCCACATAGGTGAGACGGAACTTGTTCCTCTTCCAGCTGCGGTCATTGCTGATGAGGGAGTTGTTTGCCTTCTCAATGTTGACGTCATCTCCCACACAGAACACATCACAGGCTTCCTGTGGCACACACGGGGCTTTCAGTGACCTCTGTCAGCCATGAGGGACTCCTCTCCAGCAACTTCAAGCCATGGCATGTATCCCCCAACCATCCATCCACCCACCCACCTACCCATTCACCCATCATTCATCTATCCACCCATCCAACCATCCATCTACCCATCCATACACCCATCCAACCATCCACCCACCCATCCATCCATCCACCCACCCATCCATCCATCCATCCATCCACCCACCCACACACCCACCCATCATCCATCCATCCACCCATCCATCCATCCATCCAACCATCCATCCACCCATCCAACCACCCACCCACCCATCCATCCATCCATCCATCCATCCACCCACACACCCACCCATCATCCATCCATCCACCCATCCATCCATCCATCCAACCATCCATCTACCCATCCAACCATCCACCCACCCATCCATCCATCCATCCACCCATCCATCCACCCACCCATCATTCATCCATCCATCCACCCACCCACCCACCCATCATTCATCTATCCATCCACCCATCCATCCATCCATCCATCCACCCATCCATCCATCCATCCATCCATCCACCCATCCACCCACCCACACACCCACCCATCATTCATCCATCCATCCACCCACCCACCCACCCATCCATCCATCCACCCACCCACCCATCCATCCATCCACCCACCCACCCACCCATCCATCCACCCACCCACCCACCCACCCACCCATCCATCCACCCACCCATCCATCCACCCATCCACCCATCCATCCACCAATCCACTCACTAGTCCCTCAGTTCTTCCTTCCTTCCTTCTACCCATCTACCCACCAGTCCATCCGTTCATCTGTCCATCCATCCATTAATCCAGCCTATATTTTTTTGAGTGCCTTTTATGCACTGGACATAATCACATTTACTATAGACTTTAGGACCTAACGTCTATTTAGTATGTAACTCTATGCCACTTATTTCTAAAACCAACATGTGTAGAGGCCTATGCTATTAAACAAGAAAGTAAACACTCCAGAATTTCCTATCCACCTTCCTCGAAAGATTTAAAAAAGTTACATTAAAGGCAAAATATACTGAATGTCTAGATCCCTGCATAAAATTTTTCTTTTCTTTTTTTCTTTGCAAAGTTCATAAGTTCTCCAACTTTAGTGATCCTAAGAATTACAGTTCAGAGTTTTTGAGCTAAGAGTCACGGATAATTCAAAAGGTTTTCAAGGGTAGCTTTTACCAATTTTTGGCCTCATGTTGATTTTCAGATGATTTAAATGTCCATCACAAGCGTATGGCATTTTATTCACCCATTCATCATGTTTACTGTGAATCAGCATACCTTCCAATTTCAATAGCCACGTGTGGCTAGTGGCTCCCATATTGACCATAGTGGATATCTAGCACAACAGGAATAAGCTTGTCCAAGTAGACAAGCTGGTGGAATCTGAGTTTCAGGTCGAGGTGTGGCCCTTGGTTTGGTTAATCACCTCTGTGTGTTCTACTTGTCAACCAAATGTGAGGGATGGATTCCTCCCAGCCCTGAAATTCTAATACTATATACTTTTTTTTTTTTTTTTTTGTAGACAAACTCCTTAGCCATAATGTAGGAAGTTGGATTCAGGGTGGAGAATGTGTGTTTTAAGGCCACCCAAACTCATCTGAGTTGTTTCAAGTTGTCTCCTGGACGGATACATGGGGAAGTACCAGGGGTTCTCTCAAGTGTCTCCTATTTCTAATGGTTTAGGTAGTCTGCCTTTTGGGTCAGGGGGAGCATGACTTCTCCCCTGGGTCTCTGAGATCTGGGAAGACGGTTACCTTGAAGACCTTCTTGGCCCAGGTCCTGAAAGCTTCCTCCTGCCCACAGAGCTCATCCCCCTCCCTCATCTTCAGGATCCTCTCTCCTCCCAGCTCTTCCAGGAGGGTGTCCACGGCGTGTCCAAAGGCACAGAAGTGAGGGTATGCCCGTGAGCCCAGGCCAAACACGGAGAACCTGCCAGCAAGACAACAAAGCCCATGTGCGGAGACTGGGGGAGTGTGGGGGTGCCTGGAATTATGACTATAATAGAACTATGTCCCCCCAAATCATATGTTGAAGCCCTACCCCCCAATGTAACTAGAGATGGAGCCTTCAAGGTGGTAACTGAGGTTAAATGAGGTCATGACGTGAGGGCCCTAATCCATCAGGGCTGGTGTCCTTATACGAAGAGAGCCTCCCTCTATCTCTGCGCATGCACAGTGCCAGGAGGTAGCTGTCTGCAAGCCAGGGAGAGAGGCCTCAGAAAGCAGTCCTACTGGCGCCTGGGTCTTGAACTTCCAGCCTCCACAACTGTGAGAAAATACATTTCAGTTGTCGAAGCCACTTCGTTTGTGGTGTTTTGCTAAGGCCACCCGATCAGACGAGTACACCCAGTACTTCTAAAAAGGCTCAGTGATTGAGCGTCGACCCGTGCACCGAGAGGTCACCACATCCTGGTCAGGGCACATGCCCAGACTGTGGGCCAAATCCCCAGTGGGGGCCATGCAGGATGCAGCCAATCGATATTCTCTCTCCTCGATGTTTCTCTCTCTCTCTCAAGTCAATAAAGAATAAAATCTTACTGTTAAAAAATAAAAGGGAATAAAGGATTTATACCTATGCTGGCCCCACCCCTTGCAACGTCTATGAAATTAATTGGTTTCGCAACCCCTCTTTGCATAGATACCACCCAGAAGATGTTGCTGTTTGAATTGATGGGGGTCAAGTTCGTGAGCTTCTTGTCTACGTGGAGGTGGGGCTGGCTGCTTGCAGGTGTGGGAAGTGGAGGGCTGTGCCTCAGGTGACCGCTCCTGCTAGTTCACTGTGTCCTACAGACACTGGATGTCACACTTCTAGAGCTTAGTCCTGGCTGTAGGTCTTGACCTCTTTGGGCTGGAACGACAGGTTCAGAGGTGGGACAAGAACGCCCCGCCCACTTCTTCCCCAGGTCGGCGTGTTCTGTGGTAGACTGTCACGTCAGACAAGCAACCAGGGGGCTGTTCAGCCGACTACCTACAGGTTTGGCTCTGTCCCCGAATCTGATTTTCGGGTTGAGGGGACCAAGACAGTGAGAGATTGAGATGGACAACGAGGGAGGGAGGCAGGAGACATTAGGAAAAAACTCTCCACTGGTGGAGAATGAACCTGAGAGAGGTCCAGGTGATCAGAGGTCAAATGAAAGTTAACATAGGTTCGTATCCACTCCTTTCAAAACCACATTCATGCTTTCTCATCTCTCCTCTTCTTTCCTGCCCTCCCTTCCCCCTTGGGGTCCCAGAGCCTTTCCAAGGGAAGTGCATGAGATTAGGGGGGTGCCCCCCCCTTCACCTATGCTCTTCCCGGACCTGGATTCTGCACCTTTTCCTTGCAGGGCAGCAGCCTGATGGGTACAGACGGCCGGTGGCCAGGGCTGGACTGGTTGGAGGGTGCCCACAGCCGAGGCAGACTCGGAACCTACTCGCACCAGCGTGTCACGTGGCCAAGGCGCCGCTCCCCACACCTCCAACATTTATGTCTGCGGCATCCACCATCCTTGACTATCACCGACACTGTTAGTTACTTGTTAGTTTAACCTGCTTCTAATTTGTGCTTACTGGCTCATCAAGCCCACTTGCGTTCACTACCAGATGGTTCAAGTAATTAATTCATTACCATGCTTCCCGATGCACTTGGCGACCTGCATCACAGTCACTTCCTAGACTCAGGTTGCCATCGGTCTCCACCCGTGGTTTCAGAATTCCTATTTTAAGCCTCCAAACCGGGCGTTGGCAAATGCAATATACATGGGGCCCAAGAGTAAATATTTTTAGGTGAAGAAGAAAACTTGAAACTATTACGTAGATAACTCTATAATAAAAAAGAACAGCCCTGGCCGGTTTGGCTCAGCGGTTGGAGTGTCGGCCTGTGGACCAGAGAGACCCAGGTTCGGTTACCACTAGGGGCACATCCCCCACCCCCCCCAAAAGAAAGAACACATTCCCACACATGTCGTATTGACAAAGTTAAAAATATAATGATAATGATAGCTGGGTACAATTTTTTAGTAATAGATGTCTACTAATGAGAATGCAATTCTTCTTGGTGGGAAATAACATTTTGCTTAATTGGGGCTCAAAGGTAGTGCGTGTCTTTTAAAAAAATTTTTAATCATTAAATGAATTGCAAATGTTCACCTGTAGCAACCATTCTTAGCTCATGGGCTGTACACAGTCATACAGTGGCCAGGCTGTAGCTTCGCCTGCTCTAAGCTATAGTACATTTAATAAGGGAAAAAAGGGTCTAACTACAACTGATGTTTCAACGTCAACTAGAAAAAAGTACCGAAGTCGAAACCTATATAGAATGTGCAGCACCAAGGGGAACCCTCATGCACACCGTGGACTTGTGTGGGTTCAGCGACTGTACACATGTCGCCCTGTGGTGTGGCATGCGGACGGTGGAGGAGGGTGTGTGTGTGTGTTGGGGGGGAAGGTGGGAAGAATATGGGAAATCTCTGTACTTTCCTCTCAATTTTGCTATGAACTTAAAACTGTTTTAAAAATTAAGTTTATATTGCCCTGGCCGGTTTGGCTCCACGGTTGGAGTGTCGGCCTGCAGACTGGAGAGTCCTGGGTTCGGTTCCCACTGGGGGCGTGTACCTCGGTTGTGGTTTGTTCCCAGCCCCGGTTGGGGTCAATGTGTCCCTCTCACATCCATGTTTCTCTCTCTCTCTCTTCCCTCTTCTCTCCCTCCCACTCTATCTGAATATAAATGCAAAAATGTCCTCAGTGAGGATAAACAAATAAAAAAAGTTAAGTCTATTAAAGACTGATAGAGTATTGTGTACTGATGGACACAATACTCCAGTACCTAGGAACCCTGTGATCTGAATCAGCTACTAAGCATTGCTCTGAGCAGGTGTGGAGAAGGTTTAGTGAGTGGCCAAGAGGTTCTGTTAGAGGTTTTTGGCCAGGCTTGGATACTCCGCTTCTATCAGCCTCATCTTGAGCGATACCTGTGAAACCCTGGGTTTGACATCCAGTTTTCTTTCTTTCCAAATAACCATTAAACTGAATGCACAACTGTTGAAATACAGGATATATGTCTGCCCTGGCACATGCCCGGGTTGTGGGCTCAGTCAGTGGGGGTGTGCAGGAGGCAGCTGACCGATGTTTCTCTTTCATTGATGTTTCTCTCTCTCCCTCTCTATCCAAAATCAATAAGAACATTTTTTTAAAAAAAAGAAAACCCCAAAATATATGTCTATGTACTACCTAAAATTATCTCATGGTACATGACTGTGCTCTTGAAAATATGGGAGTTAGGCCAGTATTTTAAAAATCTGACTACATATTTGGAGTCAATTGGGGAGACTTTTTAAAGAGTTTTAAAATTTTTATTTATTGGTTTTAGAGAGAGAGGAAGAGAAACATTAATTTGTTATTCCACTTATTTATGCATTTATTGGTTGATTCTTGTACATTTCCTGGCCAGAGATTGAACCCACAATCTTGGTGTATTGGGATGATGCTCTAACCAAGTGACCTACCTGGCCGGGGGGGTGGGGGTAGATTTAATTTTTAAAAAATTAATTAATCAATCTATTTTTTATCCTCACCCGAGGAAATTTTTACACTTATTTTCAGATAGAGCGGGAGAGAGAGGGGGAAGAGAAAGAGAGAAACATCAATGTGAGAGAGACACACTGACTGGCTGCCACCCACACAACCCCAACTAAGGCCGGGGACAAACTGCAACTGAGGTACGTGCCCTTAGCTGGAACCGAACCCGGGTTTCTCTGGTCCGTGGGCTGACGCTCTAACCACTGAGCCAAACTGGCCAGGGCTTTATTTTTTTTACTTTCAATTTATTTTTTTAAATTATATTTTATTAATTTCTGTTACAGATGTTTCTCCTTTTTCCCCCATTGACACCCTCCCCCTCATCCCCCCACCTCTTCCCCAGCTTTGTTGTCCATGTCCATTGGTCATGCATACATGCATATAAGTTCTGTGGTTTATCTCTTCCCCCCCGCAACACCCCCTCGTCTGAGGTTTGTCAGTCTGTACCCCACTTCTATGTCTCTGGGTCAGTTTTGTTCATCAGTTTGTTTAGTTCATTTTATTCCACAAATAAGTGAGATCCTGTGATATTTGTCTTTCTCTGCTTGGCTTGTTTCGCTTAGCATAATACTCTCCAGGTCTCTGCATGTCATCTCAAAGGATAAGAGATCTTTCTTTCTTACAGCTGCATAGTATTCCATTGTACACATGTACCACAGCTTTTTTATCCACTCATCTGCTGATGGACACTTGGGTTGTTTCCAGATCTTAGCTATTGTAAATAGTGCTGCTATGAACATAGGGGTGCATATATTCTTTCTGATTGGTGTTTCAGGCTTCTTAGAGTATATTCCTAGAAGTGGGATTACTGGGTCAAATGGCAATTCAATTTTTAACTTTTTGAGGTAACACCATAGTGTTTTCCATAGTGGCTGCACCAGTCTGCATTCCCACCAGCAGTGTACTATAGTCCCCTTTTCTCCACACCCTCACTAACACTTGTTGTTTGATGATTTGTTGATGGTGGCACTTTCTTTCTTTCTTTCTTTTCAAAAAAGCAATGCTTAGTCCCAATTCTAGACCAATTACCCCATACTCTCTGGAGGTGGGGCTGGGTTATGGGTGCATTGCAAACATCTCCAGGTGCTTTTTGTGCACAACCAGGTTTGGGAACCACTGGGTTATGGCAGGTTGTCCCCAGAAGCTTCTATTATGTATAAAACATATCATTTGGGAAGAAATTTCTAGGGGTCAACATTCTTCATTACAAATGATGTAATGCATGTGAGGGGGTGAAATGCATGTGAGGGTAAAACGTGGGTGATGGGGGCACTGAGCCTTTGCCTTTGCTGAGAGGAGTGGGGTACAGCTGGGGTACAGCCGGCTATTCGAGGGATGAATGGGCATTGAAGGGAGATCCCCCCAAACAAAGAGCCCACTTTGCAACCAAGTCCAGTTCCCCAAGAGCCTTCATCATCCGCAGTGCCCTGAGCCCCTTGCTCACCTCACGTTGGCCAGGGGGCCGGCGCTCTCGAAGTTGTCTCTGAGGTCCCGCCCATCGCCTGCTGATTTTTGGGAGTCAGAACAGGAGGAAACACTATTGAACCTGACCTTGTAGCTCCTGCCAAAATAAGAGAGAATCATGAGCTCTGGCTTGAAGCCCTCCTGAGGTCAACACCCCGGTGGATCTTCAAATGACCAGTTCTGGTTCTAGGACCTCGTCTTGTGTGATGGATGAGACCATAACATCCCATGGCCTCCTCTACAACGGATCACCTTGCCCTTGCCCCGCACAGTGATAGCCAGCCATCCGTACTTGATGCTGTCAGTATTAAAAGGGTCCTGATCACATTAGACTCAGGGAACTGAGACTCGGACAGTCAAAATGACTGAATTGGCAAGAAGTCAGGAATGGGACAGACCACCCCCTCAACCATTAGACCATGCTTCCTTACGACCCAAATTTTAACATGCATAAGAATCAGCCTGGGACGCTGTTATACAGATTCTGATTCCCTGGGGCAGGGCCTGAGACTCTGCATTGCTAACAAACTCCCTGGAGATGTCAATGCTGTGGGTCCCCAGACGTCACTTTGCAAAGCCAGGACCTAGACTTGTATTATCCACTGGCCGCCTGTGGCTACTGAAAGGTGAACCGAAATTAATTCAAATGAAATACAATGAACAGCTCTGTTTCTCACTTGCACTAGCCACACGCCAAGTGCTCAACAGTCGCGCGTGGCTAGTGGCCACCGTCTCGGGTGGCAGGAATACAGAACGTCTACGTCATCTTAGAAAGTCTTATGGGATGGTGCTCTTTCCATAAAGTTTTGGTCTTTAGACATTTCAAGGGTCTGTCACATGCCACTTGCCGAAGTGCTCAGCACTGTCCCGCAGGAAAGGAGACTGGGTTTCCTGGTAAACTGTTTTGAAGGGGAGGGAAGACATGACTGGGGCTCATATCTCAGCAACAGTGGCTCATGAGCCTTGAGACTCAAGGAAAAAATGTAAAAACCCTGGTTGTCCAGTGTTCTTCTAAAAGTGGTAAGTTTTGATCTCAGGGCAAAAACAAAACATAAAATAAAGCAAAACCAAAAAAAGTCCCCAAGACCGAAAACAAAACAAAACAAAAAACCCACCCCAAAATAAAACAAAAAACGCAAACGAAACACAAAAACTCCACACACCAATCCAAGTGCAAACGACAGAAAAAGAAGTTGCGCACTCTGGCTGCGGGGTTTCGAAGCTGGGTGTTATTCAAAGTTTCGCTCCAGCACCGGGAAAGGTCTAAATATATGTAAGTGTATTTTCTGCCCTAAAATAGTCGCACATCAAGTCACTTCTCCAAATAAGTCATGCCACGTATCAGGGGGTGACCGTGTTGTTAGTGTGGGCGGGATGGTGATGGTTGTGGGGTAAGAAGAACATATTTGTATGAGGTTAGAGGTTTTCCCAAATGTTTTCCTCTTTGTTGTTATCCTTTGATCCTTGCAACAGCTCCCAGAGGTGGTAAGTGTAGAGAGAGCTTCTCCCCATTTGTCAGATGAGGAAGACTGAGGCTCAGAGAGGTCAAGGGACTTGCTTGCTCAAGGTCGCTTATTGAGTTAGTGGCACAGCCTGGGTTAGAACCTCGGATTTCCTTGAGACCTGGATGTGGCCTCGGATGTTCCGGCATCAGGCATGCATGCACACGCATGCACACGCACGTCTCCATGCACACACGCACGTACACACGTGCATGCACGCCCATGCACACCCCCACACACACGCTCTACCTGTGCTGGCTGTCACGGGCTGTAGCCAGACCATGGACTTCGGTGTCACCTCGGGGGAGGGGAGACCCTTTACGGGGAAAGAAACGCAAGGGTTCCGGGTACCTAGAGGGGAGAATGGATGGTGCCCTATCTCTCCCTGAAGGAGGGGGGAGGGAAGCCTGCTGGAGACCACCCAGGGTGGGCTGGGAAGGGGAGGGGCAGGCGCAGTGAGTGCTGGAGCTGGGCAGAGGAGGGGGGCTGAGCGCTAGGGACTCAGCCCTCCCCTGGATGAGGAAGGTGTGCGAGTCTGGCAACACGTGCTTGGCTACAGAGAGCCGAGAGGGATTTTCTGCATAACACGGCCAGCTACGGCTTTGGGTGCCCAGCCGAGCTCGGGGACCTCGGTGCTGGCCTCCCTGGACGGCAGCTCAGCCTGCACGTGCCCTAAGTTCTTGACTTTATAGGGGATTTAAGGGCTTTTCAAGGGTGATTTGATTACAGGTGTTTTTCGCTTCGAACTATCTCCGGAACCCAACCCCACGTTAGACGCGGCTTCACCACGAACACCTTTCGACGGCAGGATCTCTCTGCGTCCCTCTGACGGCAGCCTCCACAGGGCCGAGGCCACCGCGAGCAGAGAGGGGAGGGTCCAGGAAGCAGCGCGTCCCGCTGACCCTGCATGTCGGTCTCCGAAGGCCGGAGACGAGAGCTGTACGTACACAGCGCTCCTCGCTTTCCACAGGACGTGTGCCTCTACTTTCTAATTTGATTCTTACCAACCAGAAAGTTCAGGCAGGTGTAACAAACCCCATTTGGTGCAAACAAGAAACAGAGGCACAGGGTTGTGAAGGGACCAACCCAAGACCTTCTAGTCAAAGACCAAAATGTCAGCTCTAGGGGGGGCACAGACACCCCCCGGCTCAAGTTGGTCACAAATGGACTTTAGGTCACAACCACCATCCATCCAAACTCAGATGTGAACCCCAGGTGCCAGAAGACAATTTTCAGCCACCCCCACAGGGTGTCACGCGACACTGGAGGGTCATTCACTCACTTCCTTTCCTCGTGCACAGAGTTGGGGTGCCTCATTTCCATCAAAGCACAGCCGAATTTCTGCAGACCAAGAGAGGCGAGTGAAATGGGAAGCACGTATCATTAAATCTGAAACACGGTCAGGCACTGGGGTCCTAGCTGGGAAAAGCAGAGTCTGATGCTTAGGGGTCAGGGTGTCCGAGACGGTCAGGGGCTGGGCTGGGCAGCGACGCTTGAGCTGCAGATGCACAGGGTAGGGCCCGCTGCTTCAAGGACTGCAGAGGCCGACCCCCACCTCAGCACACAGAGCCCCTTTGTGGCTTTCTCCCTATAAAAAGATTGTCCCCACTTCTGTCACCTGGAGCAGGGGACACCAAACTCTCGGCTGGAGCACCCGTTCCAAAGAAACAGCTCACTCAGGGGACAGCATTCTCACTAGGAATCCACCAGTCAGTGGACACCAACAGACTGAGGACTAGGAATGGTCCCATCTTTGCGGAACTTGGATCCAAAGGGAAAACACTGTCTCTGAGGCTCTGGGAGGGTTTGCTACTGAATAGCGGGTGTAACTGTGGCCCCTCCTCCTCCCTGCGGAGGGAAATATGCGCTAGAACAGGGGAGAACTCTTACCTCCCCGTTTTCAGGGGGGTCTCCGTTGCCAAAGGTGCTGGTGACCACCAGGACCAGAGTTTCATGTTCCAGGTGCACGATGTCATATTCTTCCATGGACATCACCTGGATGGGGGAATAGTGGGGGAGAGGAAGGGAGGGATGAGGAGGAGGGAGGAGGTAGGAGAGAGCAAGAAGTGATGGGGGAAGGGCAGAAGGGAAAGAGAGGAAAGAGATGAGTCATCTCGAGCCACCTCCTTTGGAAGAACCAAAAGCTCTGGGTGTCACTATTTCAATGGGTTTCTGGTAGAACCGCAAGCTTTTTGCCAGTAGGGAACCTAAGTCACTGTGGTCTGAAGGACCGTAGAGAATCGGGGGCAATGGTGCAAGGGGTTGGCTGTCAGTAGAGACAGATCCTGATTGAGACCCTTCAGCTTCTTACTACCAACTGATCTTAGAATCTTCTTGACCACATCTAGGCTGGAAGTGACCTGGCGGCTGGATCTGACCAACTGTCTGCTCAGCCCCCTTTCCAATCCTCCCTCCAGCAGTGTGGGGGACCTGGCACACACAGAGATTCCTGTGTTAGGAAAGATTGTTGCCCTATATCATAGCATCGCTTGAGCAACATTCCTCAAGGTAGGTTCTAGGGAAGCCCAGTCTCCGGAGATGCTCCTCGAAAGTTAAGTGAGCCATAAACAAACATGTTTGGGGAACATTTACATTCTCCGCCCTCCTCTGTTGGAGATGATAACACAGATTTGCAGATTAAAGGCTCTGAGAAGTCCTGCAGCAAAAGATATCCACTGAACTGTATTGAACACAGAGCTTCTTAAACTGACTCCAGAATGGATTTTCATAAACCCTCTAACAATCTCCTCTAGATATGGGGGTTTCATTTTGTGATTCCTGGACTCCTGGGGGATTCACAGGGAGAGGGGCATCACAGTCCCCTGAAATTTATGAAAATGGGAGCATGTGTGCTGAAGGGCGACTTGGGGTGTGCTTCCATCCATTCTCAAAGGGTTCTACTGTTGCATTCCCTCTCTCCCCTCCCAACTCTAATTGCCATGAGGGGCTGGAGGGCGGGCACTGTCTCCTACCCACCTTGGCATCAAAAGCGTGCTTGAAGATCTCACACAAGGTTTTGGCATAGGCCTGCGATTTGCCTGTCTCTGTGGCATACAGGATGGTCGCCTTGACCCTCTTGGCCATTGCCTGCCCCATCAGCTTGGCTGAGAACTTGACGGCTCTGGAAGGAGGAGGATGAAGAGAAAAATGGGAAATGCCAGGCTGGGACGTTTGGGCAAGAACCATGGTCCTTTGAAATATAACGGAAAGAACTTACAGCCTGAGTTGAGGCACCATCTGACTCCTGTATTAAATCCCTCCAGGGCAACGACTCATGAGCTAAAACGGTTGGTTAATTTTGTTGGGTTGTTACTTAACTGATCAATCTCAGTCTTGAGAATCTTGCTTTGCCAAACATTGTCCCCAAAAGATGATCATTCATTCACACAATCATTTGTTCATCCATTGAATGTGTGTTAAGCACCTAGGTGCCAGGCATTGTTATAGGAGCTGAAGAACATAGAGAATTGAGCTACGGACAAGCAGCTGTGACGGAACTTACATTCGTGTGTGTGTGTGTGTGTGTGTGTGAGAGAGAGAGAGAGAGAGAGAGAGAGAGAGAAATGAGTCACTAACAAATCGCCAGGTATTGAGCTCAAAGGGATTTCACAGGTGTACTGTTCTCAAAGGAAGGACCAGGTCTGGTTTAGGTTTGCACAGAGCCTGATACCTAACAGGCACCAAACACATACCTAGCAGAGGAAGGAAGGGATTTTAAAGATGCTGTTACCACTGAGGACGTGGGGAGGTCACATGGCAAGTCTAGGCTCTTTGTAGTTCAAGGGAGAATTCAGAACCGCTCTTCTTCCTTCCCGTCCACGAGGGTCCTGGGGTGGCAGACGGGCCAGAGGCTCCAGAATGCCTGGGCTCACCCCTTGTCTGAGCAAGCACCCCTGCTCCCACTGGGCATCTCCGAGGAGACAAATTGCTAACTACTCCCACCTGCGGATTATTGGTGGCAGATGCATCATTTGTAGAACCAGGGAAACCCACCCGGCTGCAGGAGCACTTGGGCAAAGGGGGAGAAACAGAGAGGAATAGAAGGTGCCTCGGGGGTTCCCTTTGAATGACGGAAGCACAGAGAAGCAGCTATAATTAACTTCCATTGTTTCTACCCCAATCTTAATAGTGCAATTAATGTTTTAGATTCCCCCCTCCCTTCTTCCCCCAGAGACGCATGAACTGAACAAAAGCCAAAGGCTGTCTTCCCCGAGAATACTCAGAATATCCGTGCTTCTCTGATCTGGGAAGAATGGCTGCCGACGGGCCCTTGCTTGGCTGGAAGACGGGGGTAGGTGGAAGGAGAGAGAGAGAGAGGAGAGAGGGAGAGCGATGCCATGGGCCATATCGACAGAACCAGCACTTAGGTTTGAGTCCCTGCAAGACCCACCATGGCATGGATGGCACCTTTTTTTTTTTTTTTTTTTATAACTATGTACCATGTTGGACCCAAAGGCACTTAGGGAAGAGTAGGGAGCTCAGTGCATACCTAGCTCCCCTGCCAAAAAGTTAGCTCCAAATAGGGGGTGTCTCCCAGGGGCCCAGTGCAGCTCTTTCTTTAGGAGAAGGCTGGCCTCCCCTCTAGAGCATCTCTGCTGGCCCCACCCCGCTCGTCAGCTGGCTCTGCCTTCTTCAGGGCAGTTATTCTTTGTAGCCTTGGTCCTTAACCCCCTTCCCTCCCTTCTGTGCTCCATTAGGTCTTATCCATCTTGCTCTTCAGCTCAGCTGTCACCTCCTGAAGGAAGCCCTCGCTGACCTCCCAAACTCAGTTAAGTCTGCTTTATGGCACGATGGACCTCCTCAGTGGCGCTCGCAGTGTTACTGTATCTGTGTGAATCTTTGATGGATGAATGGCTGTGAGTGTCAAGAGGGGCGGGGACCACATGTATCTGGCTCATGATAGCATCCCTGGAGCCTAGCACAGTGCCTGGCACAGAGTAGGTACTCAGCATTCATTTGTTGGACAAATGAGTGAGGGAAGGAAGGAAGGAAGGAAGGAAGGAAGGAAGGAAGGAAGGACATTAGAGTTCAGCCCTGGACAAGGACACTGTCTAAGCACCATCTGGAGCTGGCTCATCCCAGCTCCTTTCTACTAAGGGTTCAATGACTTCCTGTCTGTAGCTTAAAACTGGCCGTAGTGGGAGTATTTACACCACAGCAATTGGCAAATGCTACACAATCTACTATTATTATTACTTTTAATATTAGTATTATTAAGAAAGCTGGTTTGCCAACACACCATTGCCTCCAGGAAAAGAATGTATGAAACTGAGTGAGGAAAGTAAAATTGGGAATTGGGAAGGAGAAGGGTTGTGGCTATATTCACATCCCAGGCTCTGAGGCAAAGAAGGCATGAGGGGGGTCAGAGAAAATAGAGAAATCTTATCACACCAGAGGTCAGAGGCATGACTATGTGCCTGCCTCCTTTTCTGGGGCTCTTCGAGTTCTGGGGCACATACATCCCCCACCTCCTCAGGAGACTTACTCTGCCAGCTTCTTGAAGCCAATGGCTCTTCGCTTTGTGGGGGTCCCGTTGGTGCCCTTCCAGACGTGGGTGTTCCAAGGGTCAGGCTGAGAAGAGAGGACTGTGGTTACCGCAGTGAGGGAATCTAGCTGCTCTTGGACGATGCTCAGGATCCCTGGGAGCTGGTGCTGCCCAGCCACGCCCAAGCCTCAGCTCTGGAAAGGAGTGATTCTGCTGGTGGTGCCCACGGGGGTCCTTGCACAGAGTGGCCGGCCCAGCCTCCCTGCATTATCCTGCTAGATCTTCCCACTCAGCCCTCAGTCCCTCTCAGAGACCTTCCCTGAGACCCCACACCGCTCATCTCCTCTCCATTAGTCTTTCGGCTGGAGCTGCGTCGTCCACTATGGTAGCCACTAACCAAGCCAGGCCACTGAGCGCTTGCGTGTCCCAAGTCTAGTCGGAATTGGGACGTGCTCTAAGCACAACAGACACACGGCTATTGAAGACTTAGCGCGAGAAGAGGCAGGGGGGAGGGGGGGGCAGGACCTGGTATTCGAAGGAGGGGGTGAGCCTGTAGTTGAGCATCTCCTGGTGGAAGACGGGAGTGATGCTGCCAGACATGGGGGGCACAATCCACACCCAGTCCGCGGGACAGCCCCCCCGGCAGCGGTATTCATTCTCCATGTGTTTGATGAAGGACTCGGTGGCTGAGTGGTGGTCGACGATGGTCACTTTGTCACTCTGGGGGTGGAGAGGGGACAAGGAGTCAGGAGGTAGAGAGCCGGGTGTTTCAGGACTCCCAGCTGGAGCGGCGCTTTCCGAAGGGCAGTCTCGGAGATGCCCGGGGCTGGGCAGTCTCGGAGATGCCCGGGCCGCGTCCGCTGGGCAGTCCAGGAGATGCCCGGGCCGCGTCCGCTGGGCAGTCCCGGAGATGCCCGGGCCGCGTCCGCTGGGCAGTCCCGGAGATGCCGGGGCCGCGTCCGCTGCTTCTCCGCGGTTCTGCCTCTGCTTCTCCCACGAGAGTCTCTGTTCCCGCTCCGACTTGAACGCCTCTCCTGCGATTCTTCCTCTCTCCTCCCCCACCCTTGTTTTTTTAAATTGTGGGGAACCTCTCTCTTATCTAGCTAGCATCTGACCACCTCATTTCGTTATTCCTTGTATTTGTTTATTTATTTAAATTTACAATTCTCTTCTCTTTACTGATCTTGGCTCTCCATATATGGGTGTGAATAAAATCCTCTTGGAAAATGTTAAACTAATGAAGTTGAGTTTATTAAAATGAAAACAAGTCAGTCACAGCAGAGGGGGTGAGCTGTCTGGGTAACCCAGCTGCTTGGGGTTCACCTAATCAGTGCTTCCTCTTTCTGCCCACAGACCCTTGGCAGAGAGGGGGGATGGAAGGAGGGAGAGAGAAAGAGAGTGAGTGAGAGAGAAAGACACTGAATTTTGTTCCACTTATTTATGCATTCATTGGTTGCTTCTTGTATGTGCCGGGGGTTGAACTTGCCTATCGGGACAACCCTCTAACCAACTGAGCTCCCTGGGCAGGGCCTAAACTGGTCTTTTTAAATCACTCATCTCACTCACTTCTGCTATCTCTGGATCGTCAGTCTTCATACTTCAACCAAACCACCCTCCGTCATTCTCAACTCCTGAAACCTCACCTCTTCCCCCGACCCTGTCTCAACTTATCTGTTCCCTGGCATAGTCCTCAGTACCCATTCTCCCCACTCCTGACATGGGGACTTGCGGTTTATAGTCACGTCTGGCCATGAGTGATACGTTCACTGTGCTGTCTGCGTGTGCCTCCCTGCATGTCTGTGAGTGTCTAGCCTCCCAGACCGCCAGCCCCCAGCGAGAGGACAGAGCTGTCTCAACGATACAGCATGACTTCTAGGGTCTCCCGGTTTGCCCAGAGAGTCCTGGCTTATGCCCACTGTCCTGGCACAATCGTTAGTGGTGTCCCTCTTTTGCTCTCAAAAGTATCCTGGTTTCGTTGACAAATTTTATACCGCCTACTATCAACACCATTTACCATCATGGGGCCACGTGCACCCGGGGCCCACATGCCTCTGATAATGACTTGTCTCTGTTAGGTGATAATTTGAGTCTCTGAGCAAGACACAGACGATACCTGCCATCTCAGTTCTAAAAAGTCTTAGGTGAGCCCTGGCTGGTGTGGCTCAGCGGTTAGAGAGTCAGCCTGCGGACCAAAGGGTTGCAAGTTCGATCCCTGGTCAAGGGCACGTACCTGGGTTGCATGTTTGATCTCCGGCCCCAATCAGGGTCATGTGGGAGGCAACCAATCGATGTGCCTCTCTCACACTGATCTCTCTCTCTCTCTCTCTCTCTCTCTCTCTCTCTCCCCCCCTTCCTTCCTCCCTCCCTTCACACTCTATCTAAAAAAACCAATGGAAAAATATCCTCTGATAAGGATTAAAAACAACAACAAAAAAAATCATAGGTGTCAAGCCACAAGGCCCCTGTTGGTCATCTCTTCCTCAAACAGTCCACACTCAAGATCAGCAACCGAGAGGAAGGCATGCGTGGCAGGAGGCAGACCTCGCGGGTGGACAGATCCCCGGGGGCGGTTCCCGGGTGGACAGATCCCCGGGGGCGGTTCCCGGCAGCGAGGGCCCTGGGACTTTCTGCCCCCAGGCTCAGAAAGGTCCCGTTCCTCTCTGAGCTTTGACGCCCGGGACCCCGGTGCTACCTGAAAGCTATACAGAACTGCAATGTTGATCTCCACCAACGCCTGGTCCTTCCACAGGGAGGACGTCTTCCTCATGTCCAAGTTCATCTTCTTGCCCACTTCCTGCAAGGGGAAGGGAACACAGACTCATGGGCTGGAACTACAGACTAAGGAGGGACCGGGCTAGCCAGTGTCATGAATGAACTTAATTAATTATTCAACTCATCGGCAGACTGATTCACTTGCTCTGAAGATTTCTTAGTGAGGAACTTGGCTGGCAATTTATTATTGACCGGAGCTTGTAGCAGGGGAAAGAGACAGTTCACGTTGTGATGAGTGCTAATTCTTACAAGGGAAATAAGACAAGGAAATGGGATGAGGAAGGAGATGGGGGCAGGGTCCACTGAACCACACGAGCCAGGGAGGCCCCCTGTGGAGGTGGCATCCCAGCTGAGGCCGAAATGAGGAGAAAAAGCAAGGCATTTGCAGATGGAGGGAGGGAAGGTTCTGGACAGAGAGACAGCTCGTGCAAAGCCCCTGAGGAGGGTTCGGAGCTGCTGAGATCCAGAAAGAAGGCCAGCGTGTGTGGAGGGTGGAGCGCCAGGGGGAGTTACTGAGACAGGCGGCACTGCATCATGCAGGCTCTTGAAGGATGCTTCAAGGAGCCAGAAGTTTTACTCCGAGTGTAACGAGGAGGGTCATGCAGGGTTTTAAGCAGAGGTGCGGGCCTGGGAGTGACGTCGTCTGCTTTATATTAGGAAAAGCCCTCCACCCATCCTGGCCACTACTTGCAACCCAGATCACAGGAGTTTTGAGCTTGTGGGGACACCTGCCCAACTCCCTCCAACCAGTGAGGAAACTGAGGCTCAGAGAGGCGCCTGGACTTGCTCAAATTCTGTAGAGCCAGTTGGCCTCGGAGCTGGAGCCCAAGGAGATGTGAACTGCCCAAGACTTGGGAGCGGCTCCCCAGCCAGGCAATTCCTTGGGCCAAACCATTGGGAAAACCATCCCTGCCTGACATGTATGTCACAGCTCCAGCTGAAGCAGGAGCTGACGTCAAGCGTGGGGAAGACCCAAAAGCAAGCCCATGAATCAGAGCCTTGCTTTTCACTTACTCTGTCACTTCCGTGGGAACCCAGGTCTCATTACGGGGGGGGGGAGAGAATGGGACACTTTCTCAGCTTTGGGAACATCTGTACATAATGGCAGTTGGAACTGAAGGTAGGGGTGGGAGGGAGTCCCATGTAAGTTACCCAGTGACTACTCATTGCAGTGGAAATGTAAGCAAGATCGAGAAGCAGTCTGATGAATGCACTCTTTGGGGCTGAGGCGCCAGGTTCTGCTTGGGGTCTCTTGGCAGCCACACAAATGCAGAAAGTAAGGAATTTGCTGCTCTCTGTAAATCCATTTAAACAAGGAGAGCGTGTTTGGCCAATCATGCTGCTATTGTTACTTCCACAGCATTATTTTGGTTCAAAGAATAGAAATTAGTTGCAGGAAAAAAACAACAACAAAACTATGCTACTTAGATAATAAAAAAAAATCCCTAAATGCTACTAGAGGCATCTCTATGCAAGTTGCCTGAATTGTCTTTCCGTTCTTGCCAGAGGTCTGTTCAGATCAGTGGCTGCCCAGCAGAATCTTCTAGGGAGCTTTGAAAACTACTGCCCATGGAGCAATTATGCCCAAATCCTAGGGAGTGGGACCCAGGACACTATTCAGCTCCCCCAGGCATTGCAAGGCTGAGGACCCCGGCCTCTGTTTTCCAGGCCAACAGCCATGGAATGTTTCAAAACGTGAGATATAATTGACATATACCATTCTGCACGTTTGAGGTGTTGGTTGGATACATTTATATATTCATATACTGCAATACGATGACCACTGTAGCATTAGTCACCTCTATCACATGGCATAATGAAGTCTTTTTTTGTGGTGAGAACAATTAAGATCTAGTCTCTTAGCAACTTGGAAGTCTGGACTGCTGTATTGTTGACTATAATCACGATGCTGTGCTTCAGATCTCCAGAAATTATTTATCTGTATAACTAAAATTATTTATCTGCCTAATTCCTGTGCACCCTGCCCCTGGCAACCACCATTCTACTCTCTGTTTTGACAAGTTCGGCTTTTTTAGATTCCACGTCTCAGTGAGATCATACTGTGTTTGTCTTTGTCTGACTTAGCTCACGTAGCATAATGCCCTCAAGGTCCATCCATGTGCACACCTATGGATTTTAGCCACATAAACGCAATGCTTGGTTCTGAGTTCCAATCTCTCTGAACCGCAGGCCAACACTCTAACCGCTGAGCCAAACTGGCCAGGGCATGAGTTCTAATCTCGACTCTGCAGACTTTACTGTGTGTCACAGGCCCAGCACCTAACTTCTCTGTTTCTCTGTGCCTGGTGTGAAGCAAGGGCAGCTACCGCAGACTGTTGTTAGCAACAACATCTGCTGACAAACCACAGCGTTGAGCACCAGGAAGCACCCCGCCCCAGCACTTTGTAGCAAATGAGGATGACTCAGCCGGGAAGGAAATCAAACCCTCTGCCGAGAAATGCGCATGGTGGAAAACCACCGCCAGCCAGCCCTCCCTTATTTTTCAGAAAAGAGACGAAAAATGTCCCAAGTTCATGGCCATTCTCAAACCCTTCTAGCAGCATTTGACACCAACAGGCAGTGTAGCAGGGTGGTCATGAACTTGGGCCACAAAGCCAGACTGGGTTTGCATCCCAGCGTGGCACGACCTTGAGTTCGTCATTTCATCCCTCCAAAGGTCTTGGTTTTCTCGTCCGTGGAAGGGGGTTTGCATACCTGGAGGGTGTGGCGAGGATTAAATGAGCAGGTAATACATGCAAAGTGCTCTGAATGCTGCGTAGCACACAGTCCGTGCACTGTTCGTGCCACAGATGCCTCTGGAGTCACCAGGGGCTTTACCGGGACTGCAGGTTCTGTTTTAATCCATTTCTACTGTCTAAGCCCCAAAGCTTGGCTGTAGGGAAGAGCCGCTGAGCCCACCCCTTCTGCCTTGTGCTTCCCAGTCATGGTGACTGAGGAGGGACCTCACCTCCAGGATGTTGTACCGAGAGTTGTCACAGTAGTCGCGGACGCCAATCTCCGTGCCCATGTACCAGCCGCTGAAGGGACAGGCGCTGAACTCTAGGCCGCCAATCTCCAGGAGCATGTTGGACACAGCAGGGAGGCCATACCACTTCAGCCCCAGGTCCTTGAACCATTCAAACCTGTGGAGAGCAACACAGCCCAGCTTACCATGGGGTGGGAGTATTATAGGCAGACAGTAGGTGGGATATCCTTAGTCTGGCGACGCTGAAATGCCAGCAACAGGCTGGGACTGAATATGTCAGAACCCGATTCCTGGACTCTGCGTCAGACCTGTAGAATCACAGGTTCCAGAGCTGGGGCCTGAGAATAGGCATTTCAAACATGTTTCCCAGGTGATTTGCATGGACATCCAGGCCTAGAAACCATTGCCTTGGGCTGCTACTTGTCTTCTAAACCCACTCTGAAAGTTAGTCTAGGAGACAGTGAGTTCCTTCCTACCCCAGGGCCTTTGCTTGGCAGTTCTTTTCTCCTAGGATCCCTTCCTTCTGTTTCTGTCCAGCTCTTACTCACACTTTAATTCTCAGCTAAAGTGTTGTTTACTTTGGAAAGCCTTCTCTGATGCCCAGTCTGGGTAGGCTCAGGTGACTTCATACCTCTAGGCACCATAAAATTTCGATTACAGCATGTTATTGGAATTAAGTTATTTGGGTAATACCTAAACTTTAAATAGAGACAGGATTCCACCCTACACTTGCGTGACTCACCTGGTTTATGCCTCACTCTAATCTTAGCCCTGGAATGGATTCTGTATTTATTTTAAATGTTGACACATTGTACGGCACAGATTGTTTTAAAAATTATTTTTGATTTTAAAAAAATCACTGCGTTAAAATATTACTCATCTCGATTATCGAGTTTTTCGGTGCCCGCCTCAGTTTTGCCCCTAAGGCCAGTGCCACACCGTGGATGTCCTTTACCCCAATTCCTTTGGACTTGACTCACATCAGGTCACACAGGGTTTTAAATGACTCCCTCTATTTAAAAGCTGAGCCCACAATATGATGGTGGGTATTTCTACTCATCTAACCCTTAGGGCAGGTCTGGGTTGATAGTTAGGAATGGGGTAAGAAGGGACATTATGATCCAGAAAAGATAGCAGTCCACAGGCTGGTCAAGGGGGGGTTATTGATTCTTTGGGGGCCCCCTGTGCCCAGGCCCAGTGGTGAGGATTGGAACCAAGACCCCTTTCAGCCTGTGTCTCGGCTGGAGAGAGAGCCGGGGTGTGGGGATGGGCCGTGAAGGGCCCTGGGAAACCCACCCCCTCTCACGCACTCCATGCCAGGCCCTCTTACTTGGGGTGCCTGATGGGCACTTCCAACACCAGCTCTGGCGGGATCTGGAAGAGCTCGGGGTCGTTGCCGCTGGCCTGCAGGAGCAGTGGCAGGACGTCGAAGCGCCCTCGCGGGGGTTTCCAGCCCTGCTGCACGCAGATCTGCAAGCAGACCCGGCCAGGTCAGGCCCGCCGCCCGCGCAGGCCGCCAAGCCCCAGCCCCCCAAGCCCACGGCAGTGGGGAGGGGCAGCCCAGGCGCCAGTCCGCCGCGGCCCCTTCCTCCAGAGGGTCTGGGCCACGCCACCTCCGTCATCAGGCTCTCCTTGCCATCACCACGCAGCCAGAACCCCTTCGCGCCGTCCCGCAGGACGGAGGGCAGACCGTGCCTCAGCACCTGGCTTTGCTGTTTTCTGGGTCTTCCCTGCTCACGGGAACCCCCAGAGGGCAAGGGACGAATGTGACTGTTGCACGGGCGGCGCCCTCACGCACAGGGCTGGCACACGGCAGGCCCTGGCCTGGAAGTGTCTGCACTGGGTGCCCTGAGAAATGAAGAAACTCTGCCAAATTATGAGGGGGTCCACCAGAATCTGCGCATAATGCATGTTAGAGCAGCTGTCCCATCAAAATATACAGTGAGACACATAAGTAATTAAAAATTTTCTAGTAGCCACATTTAAAAAATGTAAAACAAACAAAAACAGGTGAAAACAATTTAAATAATATAGTAATTTTATATATTTTAAAATTTCAATAGTATTTAATTACTAAATAGTTATTAATCATGCATATCAATTATATTAATATCAATTTGTTAATACTGTATTAAATAAAGCATTGGTTTTAATATATTTCAATAATGCATTTGACATCAAAATTAAATATGTGATATATTTATCAATCCAGTAAATATACAAAATATAATTTAACATGTAATCAAATGTATTAGATATAATTTAATAAATTTTAAAATAAATTAATATTAGCATATTTAAAGCTATTTAACACAAATCTATATATTAACTCAATCACTGTGTTAATTTATTAATAAGTACAATAAGTAGGTTAGTCCAATATTATCCACTATAATATTTTCAACATGTAATCCAGATAGAAACTTATTAATGAGGTATTTTCCATTCTATATTTTTGGTTTCTGTCTTGGTGATCTGGTGCGTGTTTTGCACCCATGGCACATCTCAATTTGAACCCACCACATTTCAAGTGCTTGCCAGCCACGTGACCAGTACGGGACAGCTCAGGGTGAGAGGGTTTCGCAGGGCCCAGTTACGTGGTTATGTTTGGGGTGACTCGTTCTGCTGCGTTAGTACAGAGAAGCAGCATGACATTGTGGGCTGAGGAGACCATGTCCTGTCCGTGAGGGTTCTGGAGACAGGGAAGGGAAGAGGCTGCGGCGTTTATGTTCTGGTGGCCACGAGGACAAGGTCAGCCAACGATACACTGAGCTCTCAGCCAAGTGGAGCGGAGAGTCTGGCTGCGTCTAAACCGGCACAGGTGGGACTCCGGGCCGCCGGGTTGCAGCCCCCTCCTCAGGAGAGTGACATTCCAATGAGGAGGTCAGACGCCGATGAAGTCGGCAGCAACCCAGGCAGCGGAGCAGCTCCCTGTGCCAGCTCCTCTCGGGGAGGTGCTGCGTGGAGTTTGAGGAGAGGACAAAGGTGATTCAATGGGGGTGAGTGGTCTGCCTGTGGTGTCTCCTGGGGGCACAGATGCTGTGAGCATCTTAGTGTGCGACCTGGCTGAGCGCCCTGAAAGCAACCTTGGATGGTGGTGTTTGTGTTCCTCGTGGCTTTTAGGAGTTGCCGTGGGCGGCCAGCAATACTGTCTGTCCTGGACCATGGGGAGTCTAGCCCTCCGAAAGAGGGGGACGTGGATAGAATAGTTGTATCAATGAATGAATGAATGATATGCGTTTGACATATTACCCAGCTCAGAAAAGGGGGGACACCAGACATGGTTTCCATATGTCAGCTCCCCTGCTCCGGGTGGAAGGCAGAAGATCTGGACTGTACTTCTAGCTTTCCCTCTCTTCATGTATTGCCTTGGATAACTCACTTGGCCCAGGTGGGACTCAGTCTACCTATCTGTGAAGTGGGACAACGGCTCCCATCCTGAGGGTTGGGCAAGGTAATGGTAGGAAGATGACCCATGGACCACCTGTAAAAGCACCAGCTGGGCTGGGGGCAGCCAAAGGGAGAAGGAGTCCGTGTGCTGCTCCCCTGTGATGATAACATGAAACTAAGAAGAGTCTGTCGATAATGACGGTTCGGAGGGATGAGAGCCCAGGTGGGCCCGGACTGGGCGGCACGCACCTGTGTGAACTCCACGTTGGCCGGATCCCCCAGGATGGAGCCGTCGGGCTGCTTGTAGCCGGCATAGCGGATGAGCTGGGAGTTCCAGACTCGGAAGTCGTGCTTGCTGTCGACCCTCTGGGGAAATATGGTGATGGCAGACCTGTGGTGGACAGAGGGCGCCAGTGTCAGGGCAGGGCTTGGACTTTGGGGACACCCTGGAAAAGGTGTCATCCAAGTCAATGACTGCAGGAGGCTCAGGGTGGATTCCATGTGTGTCAAGGTCCCCAGAGCCCGTGGAGCAAGCTGTCGGGAGGGAGGAACCTTGTCCTGTCCCTCCGCGGGGACCGTTGGTCTGAAGAAGTGTGGAGAACGGAAGGAAAAAGAATGTTTCTCAAATGGGGCTTTCAAACAAGCTTGGCTTGGGCCAGTTTTCCAGGGAGTTCTTTTGCAGCAGGTGATCTCCAGGGGAAGAACATCAGACACTGCCTCCCTGTAAGAATACGCCATCAATGTCTAGTTCTAGCCTTTCTCCTACCGTAATTACCACCATTGTTAATTCTCGTCCAATTCCCCACCCTCATTCCATGTCGAAGTCTATAGATTTACGACTTAAAAAGAAATGAACTTTCATTTGTATTCACTTTTATTTACTCCGAAGCGATAGATCGCCACCGGCCTTGCCTATCTGGCGAGGCAGCCATGAGACTGTCCACTGTTACGAAATTGTTGTTGTTGTGTACGGAAGGCACCTAGCTGGAGGCCTGCTCTCTTTTTGTTAAAAGGAGATCAGCAGTGTTAGAGAGGTGCTTAGGATGGGTTAGCAACAGACTGAGGCTTCCTCCTTAGCGTCATCAGGATTCCAAAAAATTAAAAGGAGAATCACTTTTCATGATGGGGTTCAACGTTGTCTCACGCCACAAGTTCCCGCCACCTGATCCGCTGGCCCCATCAGTGGACCGAATCCTCAGCTATGCCTTGTGTCAGCATGGGAGTCCATCATGGGTCCAACCTATTGCACACAGACCTCCTCCCACACAATCCTGGCCCTGGATCCTTGCCCCCCCTCCTCCCACTAGAATCCCTCTCTGCTCTCATGCTTCTAAATGCAAGCCCCGACTCAAACCTGCTTTCTCCACAGAGCATCCCCTGGCCCACCTAGTTCCCAAGGCCTTCTTTCTAAGCACAGTTAGGCCTCACTGTCTGCACAGGACAACACTGCACTTAACACTGCGTGGTGGTGCAATGCACCTGGCGGTGCATCTAGAACGGGGCTGGCGGTGGAGCCGCACAGAAGCAGAGGCGCCACTGACAATCTCGTAGCAAAGGCGCCTCGTTGGGTAATCAACACAGGATGCGTCAAAACATCAGTGTTCCCTCACTGCCGTTTCTTTGGTTGAGCACAAGATAAAGGGCATTTGTGTAATACCTATATTTAAAAAGCATGTTTAGAAACACTAGAATCACACACAGTGGGATGAGACATTTACTCTGTGTGCAGGGACAGAGACCAACGGCAGAAATATAACACGTTACACTACTCATCTCCCGCTCTGCTAAGCTTAATCTCAAAAAAAAGGCAGGTCAAATACTCCGCACTGTTTAAGTTACCTCTCTCTACCGCTCCTCCCTTCTTTTTCCTCGTATGCCTTTCTCTCCTATATTTAGATGATTTCTATACGTGGTATACATGCTCTTACGTATGTGTCCAGATGTGTGGTTTAAAAATAATCAGCTGAGTATTTTCTTTAATAGACGATGTCATGAAGGCTCCCCAAGAGTGGAGGTGCACTGCCTGGTCTGTGAAGCCCCATCCCCACCCCATAGTCACAGCACCATTTGAAAACTACCAGAAGGGCCCACAAACTCCTTGAAACTGAGACCTCAACCAAGTTCTCCTTCAGCTAATTTCTGACTCCCTCAAAATTTAACTACTGTTGCCCGGAAGCCTTACCGATAACATCAACAGTAAATTAACACATTTTTTGTTTTATGTATTACACACTGTATTCCTACAATAAAGTATGCTAAAGAAGAGAAAATGTTATTAAGAGAATCATTAGAGAAAATACATTTACTGCATCTCTTCAAAAAATCTGCATCTCAGTGGGCCTGTGTAGTTGAAACCCGTGTTATTCAAGGGTCAGCTGGGCTAATTCCCCATGCGGCCCTGAGCTCAGATTACCGGCTCTTTTCCTGCTAGTAGGCTCAGCTGGCAGACAGTGTTTCCTTCTCAAGGAAGAGGCACATGCAAGAAAACCCATGCTTGATGCCAACAAGCCACTTTGGGGATGAGCTCAGTGTAGCCCGGGGGCTTGTGGGAATATCCTTGCAGCGGCCTCAAGATGGGTTGGTCATCAGGAGCTGGGAACAGATGCCAAGGCAGGACTGAGGGAGCAGGATTAACAAGTGTAACTGTCCATCTGTGGGCCCCCAGCTGCTCCCTCCCAGCTGCTCCCTCCCAGCTGCTCCTTCCCTAGCCACAACTTGCCAGTGTGAAAGCCACCAGTCCACACCGGTGCCTTCCTGCCTTGGCCTGCTCCTGGTGGCTTTGTTCTTCATAGAGGGCAAGAGGAGTCGGCTTGATGGAACCTGACAAAGTGGTCCCCACGGCAGCGGGAAGACAATTTGTCTTTTCAACCAAGGAGGCTGCTCCACGCAACAGCGCAGAAGCTGGAGGGAGCAGGTCAGCACCAGCAGTGGGCATTTTCCTATTCCCGACATGAGGACCACCCCTTCCTGCCCCTCCACGGTTGACGCTGAATGGCGGGCTGAATATGACTTTGGCTGCTGTAACTTTGCAAACCACACAGGTGTCTGTTTCTCCCAGAAGAAAAGGGACATGGTGGTGGAACAATCATGCCAGGTTACTGCTCCCAGCTGGGCGCATCTTCCCGAGAGGAGAGGGAGGATTTGCCTGGCAGGGGAACCAACTCCAGACCCAAGTGTCAGCACTGGGGGGGACTCTCTTCCCGCAAGCTGGTCAGCTCACCTGAGGTTCCCTTTGTTGGTGGCATACTTGATATGGTTGCAAATGTAGTTGAACATCCCATGAGCCGTGGTGCAGTCTCGGGCATCGAACACCTGGAAGAGGTGCATTGCACTGTGGGATTCATGGCCTCCTCCTCCCCTCCTTGGCTTCCCCTGGGCAGCCTTCCGACTGGAGGAGAGCCCACAGCCTACTCCAGGGGCTACCTCATTGGAGTAGCGAGCACCTCACCACTCCGTCAAACCGGGACAAATCCCCTAAGAGTGGGCATGGCGTGTAGTGATGTGGGAAAGGGATGGTGAGGAGAGGCGAGACGTTTAGTGGGCTGGTTATAGTTCCTGTTAGGTTATTAGGGATAAAAAAACAAAACAAAAACCAAACAAGAAACCCCTGAGCTTGATAACTAATCTACTTCCAACTTAAAACTATTTCCCAGAGAAAAAAGCATACCAAGGGACACAGAATCTGATGTTTTAAGTGAGTAGGCAGATAACATAAACAAGCAAAGACAGATGTAAGACAAAAGGGAGTGGTGGTAAACTGGAATGTATAAGTCTTACCAAGAAAAATGCAAATTCATTTAAAAATAAATACCATGTTGGCTAAATGAGACATGATTATAAACCAGATCTGGTCATGATCTGAGCACCTGGGACCCCATGATGGCCATCTGGTAGATCACCTTGGCACCCAGGTGCCCTTGGTAGGAGCTGAGCCATTTGAAAGCTCACCCCTCCACCAACGGGCTCGTCAAGGTATCTGAGCCTCACCGCCTACCTGCAGCTTGGACCACTGGATCCTGCCGACGCAGCGGGAGGCGTTCCTCCAGGCGTGCTTGGCCCCGTAGATGAGCTCCGTGTCTTTGAGCTGGTAGGTGCTGGTGGTTTCAATTTCTTTGTTCACCTCTTCCAGCCTTTCCATGTGGGCTTTGGAGCCAGATCTGAGCGAGGAGGGAAGAGAGGTGGGAGCGTCACCTTCTCTCTAAATCACAGGTTGGTGAAAGGTAGGAGCTATTACAGGAGGCTAGAAGTCACGGAAAGTCCCAGTGGGTTTCTGGACACAACAGTTCAGGCATGAAGTAGAGGCTGCAAACTAAAATGCCCACGAAGGTCCAGCAGTGACTGAACTGGCTGGGCGGGGACTGCGGCTAACAGGTGAGCCCGTGCCTGGTCCAAAGGGAACGGCCGCAGCTCTGCCCCAGCCAGCTGTCACCTGAGAGCCATGGGGGCCCACTGCTGCCAGCCAGCTCTCCTTTCAAAAGAAACTGGAGCTCTTATTTTGAAGGAAAAAAAAACAAAACTCTTCTCATTTTAAATGATGGCAATGAATTAAATTAAAAAAAAAAAAAAAGATTACGAAAAATTTCAGACTTATAAAAAGATGTGGAAAATAAGATAATGAATACCCATGCCCCACGCCTAAGAAATAATAAACAAATAAGAACAAATATTCTAGATCCTTGCGGACTACTTCCCCATTATGGCCCACTTTCTTCCCAGAAGTGACTGTTATTTTGAATGTGGCTTTTGTTTATACTTCCACCAACATGTGTATCCAGTATTGTTCCCCATGTTTACAATGTTTACATAAACGATGTCCTGAATGTATCCTTTTACAACCTGCCCTTTCTTTCTGTAGCTCAGAGTCATTGGTGGGCTTCATTCCCATGAGCAAATAGCTTTACCCCATCCATTTTTCACAGTTGTATAGTATTTCATTAAGGAAACAATCACATCTCATTTACAGATTCTCCTGTCAATGGCCTTGAGGTGGTTTCCAGCTGGCTCCCTAATTAATTTTTTCCCTATTACAACAATGTTTCAGTGAGCATGTTTATGCATGCCTTCTCCTGCGCAAGTCAGATTTTCTTTAGGGTATATACCTAGACGTGGGATCGCTTGAAATGTTTCAAATGTAAGCAACACTTTGCAGGCCAAACAAAACATTTCTGGGTGCCATATCTGGCCCTGGGGCCACTAGATTTCGACCTCTGTGTATGGCAGGCCGAGGCCTTAGGCTCAGGCCTTGGTTCAACCGTCTGAAAAGCTGGAGCTGAAGTCTTCGTCTCCAGTACTCGATTCCTTACCCAGGCTCCCCAGTGTCAACACAAACTTGTCTTTTATTTACCTATTTTCTCTAATCCTCACCCGAGAATATGTTTATTGATTTTTAGAGAGAGGAAGTGGGGAGAGAGAGAAAGAGAGAGAAACAGACATTGATGTGAGAAACATCGGTAAGTTGCCTCTCACACACGGCCCAGCTGCAGACAGAATCAGAAATTAGGCATGTGCCCCGCCTGGGAATCAAACCCACAACCTTCTGGTACACAGGATGCCGCTCCAACCAACTGGACCACACCGGCCAGGGCTAAACTCGCCTTTTAATTGACGAATAGTACTGATCAATAAACTCTTTGGCGAGAGGGAAGAGCTGTTCTTTTGTGCGGACGTCTTCCGGCCTTCGTATTTGCTGAGAAGCTTGCATGATGGAGCCCATGCAGATGTGTGCGCTGCATCCGGTTTCCTGGACAGAAGAGAGAGGTTTGGGCTATCACGTGGTTTCGCCCAAATGGGGCAGGTATGGAGCTGCACACTTGGATGGAATTCAGGTGGGGTTTACCTGCCTTTAATTCCCAAGGGGGATTTCTCAAGTTACCAGCTTCAGATCATTGTTGGACGTGGTCATCAGCCCAGGTACGAAAAGCTAAGCGGCATTTTAAGGTTCTAAAAATGTTTGCTCAACTCAGCTGGGGGAAGAGGGGCTTGGCGGCTGGTCTTCCCTCGGCACTGAATCCCCAGGAGATGGTACAGCGGCCACAGTGACTTATCTGAACACATGCATGATACGCTGACTGCAAGAAATAGCCGCAGTTGTTCCCCTCCCGATATCCCCACCCTTTGCAATGTTACTTTTTTTTTTTTTTTTTATCCTCACCCGAGGACATTTTTCCAATCCTTGTACAGATAGAGTGGGAGGGAGAGAGAGGGAGAGAGAAACATCGATGTGAAAGAGACACATCGAGTGGCTGCCACCCGCACGACCAACCAGGGCCGGGGACAAACTGCAACTGAAGCACGTGCCCTTAGCGGGAACCGAACCCGGGTCTCTCCGGACCACAGGCCGATGCTCTAACCGCTGAGCCAAACCGGCCAGGGCTGCAATGTTACTTTATAGCAACCCCCCAACAAGAGGTGGGGCCTCTTCTGTCACCTAGTGAGCGGCCTGCAATCCACCAGATGTCAGGAGCCCCCTGAAGTTGTGACAACCAAAAACGTCTTCAGATAGTGCCCGTTGTCCCTGGGTGGATACACAGGACAGTCCCCACCACAAAGAATTATCCAGTCCCTAATGTAGGTAGTGCTGAGACTGATCATCCTGTCGACACCCTCCGAGATACTCACCAACGTACTCTTAAGGTGGAGGGTGTCCGTGAGAACCACATCGGTCTCCCAGTTCTTGACCTTGAGGAAGCGGGGGCACTTGGAGGGGCTGCCGTTCTTTGTGGGGGACTGTTTCCCCGAGGCAGGAGGCTGAGGAGAGAACCAAGGTGGGGTGTTAGGCAGGAGGGCACTGGAAAATGGTCTCCACTGGGCAGCCAGCTCCCACCTGGGGGCACCATCTCCTCCGAGTTAGCAATTGTCTGCACGGAGAGGAAGGCTCCACTCTCCCCTGTGACGCGTGAAAGGTGGCTGGGAACCTGGTCCCTCTGGCTTTGCAGAAGGAGGTGCCACGGAAGAGCCTTTTGGGTTCCGTTCTGGGAAGGGGGGTCAGGAACCCAAAGGCGGTCAGGACTCCCTGGTGTCTAGCACGGACTGGGCAGATAGCGGGGACTCCGCCAGTGTTTGCTGAATGAAGAGATGACTGGAAGGTCACCGTCAGTTTCTCTGAAGGATGAAGCCCTCAGGGCGAAGGAATCAACCCCGAGGCTGGCTGAGGCTTGGGTGGAGTTACTTTTCTGGGCCTTCCTGCTACAGCCCAAACTCACTGTTTCTGGCAAGTACTGGGAAAACAGAAGGTTTACATTAGAAAGGTTTGAAGCATACAACATGTCCCCCAAGTTTCAGGTTTCTGCCTCTCAAAAAGGCCAAGCATGTCCCTGTCTCAGGGCCTTTGCACTCCCTGCTCCCTCTGTCTTAAACACCTTCAGTTCTCCATGTGTCTTCGCCTCTGCAATACAACTGCCCAGTAGGTGAGAGGGGATAAGTCCTGGGCTGACCAATGGTGGCCCCTCCATTTCCGACTCAAGGATAAGGATCGCAATCTGTCTTGGGAATTCCTGAGTAGTGGTCCACCTGCCTGGGCAGAGGTGTGCCCGTGCATCAGACCAGCACCAGTCACTCTGCCACTGTGAGGGAGAGGCGGCAGGCACGCGCTGCTGAGACAGCTGAGCAGGGGAGGGGAGAAGAGTCCATGTTCAGTGACTTTCATGCCTAAGAGAAGAACAATGGGCAGTGCCCCTGAGGCAGGGCATTCACACTTCCAACTGCCATTTATTGGGCCCCTTTGATGTGCTAGGTACGGTTAGGCACCTAGCTGTTAGGGGACACTGTGCTGAAGCAGTCAGACAGGATCCTTGAAATTTTGAAGCCCTGTTGGGGGAGAAATGGAGACAGAATGTAAATGAATACACAGGCCATATAATTTCAGGTGGTGCTAAGAATAACAAATAGAGGGAGGTGATGGTGACTAAGTGGAAGAGAGAAAGGCAAGTGCAAAGGTCCTGAGGTAGGATGAGTATGCTAAATTCAAAGGACCAGCAAAGAGGCCAGTGCGACTGGAGTATACGAGCCATGGCGAGTACAAGGAAATGAAGCCAGCTTGCAGGACCTGAGGTGGGTGAGGGGGCTGTGAATTACCATTAAACGGGCTAAGTCCAGGATAGAAATCGTGGAGGACTCTGAAAGACCACTATTGAAAACTACCATTCAATGAGCGCTTACTAACCTTACCATCCCCATTTCACAGATGAGAAAACTGAGGCAAAGAAAGGCTAAGTTGTCCAAGATCACAGAGCTAGTAAGCTGAGGCAGGAGTCAAATTCTGACTCTCTAACCACGTCCCTGTTTGACAATCCTGCCTCTTGGCCTCTGTTCATCATTCCTTCCTTCCTTCATTCATTGATCATTCATTCATTCAACACCTGTTTACCGAGTATCTCTTATGCGCCAGGCAAGGCAGCAAGGGCCAGGGCTACTGTGACAAACTAGACAGATGTGATCTCTGCCCTCATGAAGTTCGATGGGAGGGGGAATCACAACTGAATGAGCTGCTATAATTGAGAGCAATGGGTACACTGACATGGGACACTGACAGTATGTAGGGGACTGTGAAAGCAAACAGAAGAGGCACCTGACCAGGAGCATCTGACTTCTAAGTCAAGGCCTGCAGGACAAGGAGGTGTTAACCAAAGAAGGGGGAGGAGCTGGGTCCTTGCAGGCAGCGAGAACAGCTTGTGCAAAGGTCCTGAGGCGAGAGGCCTATCATAGCCACCTCTCCAGCCAGTGGCCAGCTCTGTGCCTAAGCATTACCACGAGAAACAGAGGCAGGTGAACAGCACACCACTATTAGATAGCTGCGGAAGAGTGCAGGGAACAAACGGAAGGTGCTGTGACTCATGCTCTCCCATTCCTCCCTGCGCTGGCCAGATCCGGTCATCCCCAGTGGTTCCCATCTCAGCGCTGGGCACCGCCATCCATCCACCTGCAAGCCACAGGTGGGAGCCGTCCCGGACACCACCCACTCTATCTCCCATACCTACTCCACCCCCACTCCCTCCCCTGCAGCTTTCTAAATAGCTCTAGAATCCCTCCTCTCCTCCGTCCAAGCCACCATTGTCTCTCACTCGGATGGCAGCAGTCACCTCGGAAATGTTAGCCAGTACTTTTTACAACTGGTATTATTATTTAGTTGTATTACTATTACTGTCGCTGTAACGACACCACTGTAGACCAGGGAGCAGAGGGACTTGGATGAGCTTCTCCCTTGGTTCCCACCAAGGAACCAGCTTTGGCATTTTCTTTTTTCCATCCTCACCCGAGGATATTTTCCATTTATCTTGGGATAGAGTGGGAGGAGGAGGAGGATGGGGGGAGAGACATCGACTGGTTGCCTCCTGCATGACCCAGACCAGGGCTGGGGACCAAACTGCAACTGAGGTGCATGACCCTGACCGGAATCAAACCCGTAACTCTCTGGTCTGCAGGCTGACGCTCTAGCCACTGAGCCTAACCGGCCAGGGCCCCTTCGGCACTTTCTATCCTGCCAAACTTTAAGTTATTTCACTTGTGCCCCCGCGTGAAGCTGCACATGAACACCCCGCTTCCCCCGAAGGCCTGGAAAGACATCCTGAGCTCTTCTTCTGTGCTGTCTCCAGGCTCTCTCCCAGCACACAGCTGGGTGATGGAAGTCACCCCTGGGCAGGCCTTCGTCCCGACAAATCCTCTGATGGTGCTGACAACCTGTGCCCACGAGAAAGAACATCCTCCCTTGCCCGTGTGGGAGGCGCTCGGACACCCTCCCTAAACACGGGCGTCCTGCAGCCAGTTTGGAAACTGTCTGGACCATGCACGTCGATGCCCCGGAGGCTGCAGAGCGGCTGTAATCCCAGGGGTGACAGAGGCGGTGCTGGCGTGGGGGCTGAGCCCAGGACCTGTGGGGAAGGTGGGAGGGCGGAGGGGGGGGAGCACAGTGAGGCAGGAGGAAGAGGTGTGGGGTGTGGCCAGTGGGCGGGTAGCCGGCAGCCTCCACCGGCAGGGGGCAGAGCTAACAGGCCTAATAACAGAGGCCATCTGCTGAGGTTCCAGATGTGCCAGGGGTGGTCATTACGAGCCAAGTAATTGGGGGCCCAAGCGCCAGGCATGCCACTCTCCACCCGGGCTGCGCTGACTGCACACATGAAACCCAGCATTAGGAGGCCTCTGGCAGGGCTGTTGTACTTGAGACTTTGATGTTTTAATTAGCCAGCAGTAATATTAGATGACTCAAGAGGGGACAAATGGGAGATTAATATAGCAGTTAGGGGCCCCGCATGGGGGATGCTAATGACTTTTCTGAGTGGGGACCAAAGTGTGGGTTAAAAATGCAGATTAGTGGCACCTGTGACTCATTATGCTGGGGACAGCGCACAAGTGGGCTTTGGGCTGCGATTCTGCACGTCCAGTTCCAGCTCAGTGTCTGGGATGGACACGGAAGCCTTTCAGGTGACGGGAGGCACTGGTTTGATCCAGTGGGTTCTGTGGGAGGGCTGCCTGCTCCCAGGTTTGCAAGGCAAGCTCTGAGTCCGTGGGCATTTCAAAGGCTGTGTCAACACCTCCTTACAGAGGCCCTGAAGATATGAAAGGAAATGGTCTTCCAGCCCAAGAGGAGACAGCGAGGCAGTCAGTGTGAGCCTGGGGCTCCAAGCCAGGAGTTCGTGCTTGTAGGATTTCTGACACTGAGTCCTTCTCCCCTTCCCTCACTCCTTTAACAAATACATACGGAACACCCACTATGTGCCAGGAACTTGTGTTCTAGGCCCTACAACGGTCCTGGCTCTCATCCAGACCGGGAGAAACCTTACGGCTGCATGTTCTAAAGTCAGGGTCTGCACACTGAGGCCCACGAGCCAAATCTGGTCTGCTCCCCGTGTTGGTACAGCCCATAAGCTAAGAATGATTTTTCCAAAAAAAAAAAAAAATCAAAAGAATAATCTTCATGATACAAATAAGTTGCACGATGTTTAGATTTCAGCGTCCATCAATAAAGTTTTATTGGCACACAGCTACACTCGCTCATTTCTGTACTATCTGTGGCTGCTTTTGCAATGCAATGATAGGGCAAGTAGCTGTGATGGAGACCAAGACAATAGGGCCCTGAAGCCAAAAATATTTTCTATCTTGTTCATTATAGGACAAGTTGGCCGACTCCTGAGTAAATGCACTGAATTCCACTGGTTGGACTCAAAGCGAGTTTACTGTTTCCATCTGCTTAAACGCCACCACCTTAGAGATTTTTCCTGATCATTTGTTAAAACACGCCTCCCCTCTGTTACTCTGTTACTCTGTGCTCCTTCACCACCCTTACTATGTCTCATTTTCCTTCAGAGCACTTATCCCTGCTTGTAATGACTGTAAGTGTGTGTGTGTGTTTGCATGTGCATGTAAATATATGTATCATAGATTTATCTCTGTATCTATAGATAAAGTTTTCTGCCTACTCACTGTTCACTTTGCTCTAGCCCCAGCCCCTAGACCAGCGCCCAGCATGGGGTACATGTTCAACAAATGTTTGAGGTTAGCTATGGACTGAATTGTGACCCCCTCGAATTCATACATTGAAGTCATCACCCATGATGTGACTATAGTTGGAGACAGGGTCTTTAGGAGGTAATTAAGGTAAAATGAGGTCATAAAGGTGAGACCCTAATCTGATAGGATTGATGCCTTTAAAATAGCGGTTCTCAATCTGTGGGTCGCAACCCCTTTGGGGGTCGAACGAGCCTTTCACAGGGGTCGCCTAAGACATAACAGTAGAAAATTATAGTTATGAAGTA